GTTTGAAATAATTTGGTCACGAATTTGCACCAAAACGGATTGCGCCCGAAAGTCATCCGGAAAAGCTCGCGTGCCAAATTGGAACTTGACCCGAGCCAAACCTTGTCGCGAGATGTGTGTCGGAGCTCCTATCAAATGACTCCAACGGTCGGTCGAAATCGGGTCCGGATTATTTTACGCGAAGACAATCCCAATCAAAATTCGTCCAAACTTGGCATAGGGTTTTTGTGATGTGAAAGCTGATTGGCTCAGGAAGGAGATTAGCTTGAGTGGGATGGGACCAGCCACTCATGCTATGGTAAACGCAGCAGCGACAGGGAAAGGATACGGAGATTTCGGGGTGTGTTTTCAGTGTGGGAAGAAGCGTCATAAGCAGATAGACTGCTATGACAACCCGAGGAGCAGAAATTTCAAGGGAAAGTGGAGCGTTCCACAGCAAAGGGGCCTGCAAAATGGAGGGCAGCAGAGAGAGGGGGAGGTTCGAGGCAATAACAAGATACAGAGAGGTGGATTTTCAAGGGCATGTCACTATTGCCAGAAAATTGGGCATAGGGCAGCCAATTGCTACTCGAACCCGAACAGCAGGAACTACCAAGGGGCAAACCAGCAGCAAAATCAACTAGCAGCAGCAAAAGAAAATGCTGTGGAAGCTGAAAACAGTGAAGCGGACGTAATTTTGGGGGGAGCTCACAAGGCATACGTGGCAAGGGCATCGGGAGTGTGTTTGATGGCAAAGGGGTTTGGTGAAGCTGCGTGGTTCATGGATAGTGGCTGCACGCAACATATGACCAATCATCGTGAGTGGCTTGCCGGATTGAGGGAGTCTAGTGTACCCTACGTTCTGTTGGGCAATGAAGGGAAACTGAGTGTGAAGGGGGAAGGAGAGTTGCTGCTCCAAGGAGAGTACGGGGAGCTGAAACTGGAGAATGTGCTTTTAGTGGAGAAGCTGTCACTGAATCTGATTAGCCAGACTCAACTTGACAGCACGGGGTGCAAAACCTTCAGCGACAAAGGAAAGTTGTGGGTTTTTTATGAGAACTGGAAGGTGGTTGCAGAAGGGAACAGAAATCAGGGGTTGTATGAAATGAAGCTGAGGAAGAAGGGGCTGGAGGATGAGAATGCCACCTACCTGCCGTCACTCGAAGGGGACCTAGCTAGGGAGGAGTTGAAGGCTCGGCTTGGTGGCTTACCTGTGAAGGGGCTGCAGCAGGAAGCTTCAGCCATGGTGGTTGGGATGGAGAAGGTGGAATTGGAGACCTTGCACAGGCGTATGGGGCATGCAAGCATGGATAGGATCAAGGAGTTAGTCAAAAAGGGCATGGTAAAAGGTGTGGCACTGAAGGAGGGGGCTGGTAGCAAGGGAAAATGCAGCAAGTGTGTTGAAGGTAAAATCACAAAGTCCCCTCACCCCCACCACCAGGTACATGAGCCTTATGGCACCTTGGACATCGTAGCTGCCGATGTGTGTGGGCCTATGAGGGTGGCGTCACGTCACGGCAGCCGCTACTTCGTTACATTCACTGATTTGGGGACAAGGCACACATGGGTGACGGAGCTGAAAGATAAGGCAGAAGTGTTCCCTAGCTTTGTGACATGGATGGCAGAAGCGGAACGGCAAAGTGGGAAGGTGCTGAAAGTTTGAAGGACAGACAATGGAGGGGAGTTTACCGGTGAGCTATTCAACAAGTTTCTACAGAGTAAGGGCATCCGACGGCAGCTGACTGTACCCTACACTCCACAGCATAACAGCATAGCGGAGCGAGTGAATCAGTCTCTACTAGACAGTGTGAGAAGCATGCTGGCCGACAGTGGGCTGCCGCTGAAATTCAGCAGGAAGAATCTGAGGGTTACAGGCAGATCCAGTGCGGCTGGAATGGGGCTTATTGGACCTCATGGTAGGGAATCTTACATGCTGGGCAACAGCAGCAGCAGCCACTGTGTCCTCCTGGCAATCATGCAAGCCCACCTCATTCGCAGCTACCGGTAGCTCCTATAGCGCAGCGCATGTGTGTCTCATTCCTACCCTTCATCCGTAGCTGCCCTTCTCTCACGCGCTTCAATTTATCTGTGCGGGCATTGCATTTCAATATAATCACGGTACGTAGCCATTTGCCCTTAATTGTGTTGAACGAGCTGTGGCAATACAGAAAGAGCAGTTGGGATCACTGAAGCAGATATTGCAAGATGCATGGATGCAGCGTCTCTTCCAGCTCCAGTCCAGAGATTCAGCTCCTCTCAATGAGTTGCCTCCTTGCTTGGGAAGGAGGTGGAGAGCAAAGGGTGAAGTCAAAAACTGGCAAATTCCTGAGGGACAACGCAAGCAGAGGTCCAGTCCAAGTGCGCAGCACTGTGCGTCACATCTGCTCTTGTCCCACTTTCCTGCTTCGCCATCCACAAAAGTCTAACAAAACAAAATGCCCTCAGACTGTCCACGAGCAAGCCACTGTCACTTATCCTCTGTTACTCTTGTCTTTGCTTTTTAAGCATTGGTGTTGTTGTGAATCTTCCACTCCTTTGAGTGACAACGCGTTTTGGCTCGTTGAATATTATTGAAGCTCATGGACAACATGAGAAATCCACCAAGATGTCAATAGAACAGAGTCAATGATGCATATCTAGGTCATTTGTCTCCCAAGTTTTCAAAGCAATTTCTTCCAGCAATTTATTCATACACACCATGCACTCAAATTCTTATTTTTCACTACTCTCCTCAATGACAAGGATCTGTACAGCTTACACCCAACGCATGGCTGAAGGAGCCTGCCATATACACCTCTTGCACAACCAGCCCAGCACCTGCTTCTGCCCGGCAGATGATCAAATTCCAACTCTGCAAGAAGAAAGTTGAACCAACCACCATGCCATGCCTCACTCCTCCACATGCATAACTCCATTTTTCACACCCCTTACCTCCATGCCTCTCCTCGCTCTCCCCTAGACAGTCACAATCAACCCTTCCTTCACTTCACCTCCCTTTCATCATCACTCCGTGCCACCCAGCCTGCCTATCCACCTGCGCAATCTATCCTTGCGAAGGCAACCCCCTTCAGGGGGCCAGAGAGCTGTCAGCTTGCTCAAGGCAGGCAGATGCTTCAGCCCATCCTTCGAGACTACCGTCTTGCCCAGACCAAGGCTCTCTAGCCCTGTCAGCCTCGCTACATGCACCATACCAGCATTTGTCACACTTGTGCATCCACCAAACCCCAAGGATTTGAGAGAGGAAAGGGGTATCAAGTGCGCCAGACCAGCATCGTTCAGCTTAGTATCATGGAGATAGAGCTCCTTGAGACCCAAGGACCCGATGCCCTCCAAGGCACTGTCTGTCACGTCTGTGTTGCTGAGGTTTAGCGTTTTCAGCAGCGGCAGCCTGTAGAGGTGCTTGATGCCCTCCGCACTGAAGCCTGAGCTACACGCTAAATTAATACTCGTCAGATGGGTCATCGTGAACACATGGGCGAGCATGGCGTCTGAGAGGCCTTTGAGATTCTTCAGGTCCAAGTGGGCCTTTTGTGATGCGGACTTGATTGCCTGGTGAAAACGGGTGAAGAGGGTCAAGATGGCAAGGAAAGGGATGACTGCAGCGCCTAAAAAGAACTATCAAGCGATGCATGCCCAATGAAACATTTCCCTCGGCACTCACCTGCCATGCCGTCTGATCGCCTTCACTCTGGCTAATTTGCAGGTCAACATCCATCTTCATGCGAGCATCCTTCTGCTCAGCGAACTCCCCCTTCACTGCAGCCAGCTCCCTCTCCCTTTTCTCCACCTGCCTTCTCATCTCCCTCATCTCAGCCATTCGACTGCTCTCGCCCTCTTCTGACTGCAATGAAAAGAACTGCTTGTGCTCACCCACCTCCCCCTGTACTTCACCCACCTCCCCCTGTACTTCACCCACCTCCCCCTGTACTTCACCCACCTCCCCCTGTACTTCACCCACCTCCCCCTGTACTTCACCCACCTCCCCCTGTACTTCACCCACCTCCCCCTGTACTTCACCCACCTCCCCCTGTACTTCACCCGCCTCCCCCTGTACTTCACCCACCTCCCCCTGTACTTCACCCACCTCCCCCTGTACTTCACCCACCTCCCCCTGTACTTCACCCGCCTCCCCCTGTACTTCACCCACCTCCCCCTGTACTTCACCCACCTCCCCCTGTACTTCACCCGCCTCCCCCTGTACTTCACCCACCTCCCCCTGTACTTCACCCGCCTCCCCCTGTACTTCACCCACCTCCCCCTGTACTTCACCCACCTCCCCCTGTACTTCACCCGCCCCCCCCTGTACTTCACCCACCTCCCCCTGTACTTCACCCGCCTCCCCCTGTACTTCACCCACCTCCCCCTGTACTTCACCCGCCTCCCCCTGTACTTCACCCACCTCCCCCTGTACTTCACCCACCTCCCCCTGTACTTCACCCGCCCCCCCCTGTACTTCACCCACCTCCCCCTGTACTTCACCCGCCTCCCCCTGTACTTCACCCACCTCCCCCTGTACTTCACCCGCCTCCCCCTGTACTTCACCCACCTCCCCCTGTACTTCACCCACCTCCCCCTGTACTTCACCCGCCTCCCCCTGTACTTCACCCACCTCCCCCTATACTTCGCCCGCCTCCCCCTGTACTTCACCCACCTCCCCCTGTACTTCACCCGCCTCCCCCTGTACTTCACCCACCTCCCCCTGTACTTCACCCACCTCCCCCTGTACTTCACCCACCTCCCCCTGTACTTCACCCACCTCCCCCTGTACTTCACCCACCTCCCCCTGTACCTCACCCACCTCCCCCTGTACTTCACCCACCTCCCCCTGTACTTCACCCGCCTCCCCCTGTACTTCACCCACCTCCCCCTGTACCTCACCCACCTCCCCCTGTACTTCACCCACCTCCCCCTGTACCTCACCCACCTCCCCCTGTACTTCACCCACCTCCCCCTGTACTTCACCCGCCTCCCCCTGTACTTCACCCACCTCCCCCTGTACTTCACCCGCCTCCCCCTGTACTTCACCCACCTCCCCCTTCACCTCCCCCACCTCCCCCTTCACCTCCCCCACCTCCCCCTTCACCTCCCCCACCTCCCCCTTCACCTCCCCCACCTCCCCCTTCACCTCCCCCTGCACTCACCTCTCCCTTCAGTGCAGCCAGATCCCGCTTCACCCCTCGTACCTCCCCCTCCACATCAACCAACTCCCCCTCCCCCTTCACCTCACTCACCTCCCTCTTCACCTTCCCCACCTCCCCCTTCACCTTCCCCACCTCCCCCTTCACCTCACTCACCTCCCCCTTCACCTCCCCCACCTTCCCCTTCACCTCCCCCACCTCCCCCTTCACCTCCCCCACCTCCCCCTTCACCTCCCCCACCTCCGCCTTCACCTCCCCCACCTCCCCCTTCACCTCCCCCACCTCCCCCTTCACCTCCCCCACCTCCCCCTTCACCTCCCCCACCTCCGCCTTCACCTCCCCCACCTCCCCCTTCACCTCCCCCACCTCCCCCTTCACCTCCCCCACCTCCCCCTTCACCTCCCCCACCTCCCCCTTCACCGCAGCCAGTTCTGCAACGAGCTCCTGTCTCATCATTCGCATATCCTCCAGCAGCAATGCTGTTGACTGCTTGTGCTCAGCCAACTCTCCCTCTCTCTCCTTCACCACAGCAGCAGTCGCCTCATTCCTCTCCTCCACAAAAATCAACATCTGCCGCAACTCATTCACCTCTTCCTTGTGTGCGGCCAGCTCTCCTCTCACTGCTGGCAGCACCGCCTCTTTCAAAACTTCAATCAGTGGCCCCTTGGCACGCCCATTCAACTCCCGCAACTCCTTCCTCCTCTCTTCCCACTCCCTTGCCAAATCCTCTCCCAGCTCTCTCAATTCCGCTTCCCTTCTTTTCCCGACCATATCCCATTGCTCTGTCATCGCGTCCTTGTGTTCATCCACCTTCCCCTTCACTGCAGCCAACTCCCCTTTCACTCCGATAAGCTCCCCTCTCATTGCTGCCAAAACTCTCCCCCTCTCCTCCAACACAGCGGCAGTCGCTACACTCCTCTCTCCCACAACACCCAGTGAGCGCTTCAACGCACTCACCTCATTCTCCAAGGCAACATTCCCCCTCTCCAGCATCAGGACTCGCACATTCTGTTGGACTAACTCCTCGCACATCGTCAAGTCAACATCCATGTTCATGAGAGGATCCTTCTTCACTGCATCCAGCTCTGCTTTCCCTGCATTCACATCCCTATCCCTCTCCTCACCCTGCCCTCTCATCTCCGCCACTTGTCTCCTCTCAGCCTCCTCCAACTGCAACTTAATTGCCTGCTTGTGTTCAGCGGCCTCCACTTTCACTGCTCTCACCTCCCCCTTCACTGCTGCTACCTCCCCCTTTACAGCTGCCAATTCCCCCTTCAATGGAATCACCTCTCCCTTCACTGCAGTTATCTCCCCTTTTGTAGCAGTCAGGTCCCACTTTAGTGCAGCCACCTCCCCCTTCACTGCAGTCACTTCCCCCGTCACTAAAGTCACTCCCCCCTTCACTGCAGTCACCTCTCCCTTCATTGCAGTCACTTCCCCCTTCACTGCAGTCACTTCCCCCTTAATTGCACTCACTTCCCCCTTCACTGCACTCACTTCCCCCTTCACTGCACTCACTTCCCCCTTCACTGCACTCACCTCTCCCTTCATTGCAGTCACTTCCCCCTTCACTGCAGTCACTTCCCCCTTCACTGCACTCACTTCCCCCTTCACTGCACTCACTTCCCCCTTCACTGCACTCACTTCCCCCTTCACTGCACTCACCTCCCCCTTCACTGCAGTCACCTCCCCCTTCACTGCCGTCACCTCCCCATTCACTGTATTCACCTCAGACTTCAGATTTTCCACCTCAAACTTCACTGCAGTCACCTTCACCTTCACTGTTGTCACCTCCCCCTTCACTGCTGCCAGCTCTCTCTCCCTCTCCTCCACCTGCCCTCTCATCTCCCTCATCTCAGCCACTCGTCTCCTCTCAGCCTCCTCCAGCTGCAATGCAGTTGACTGCTTGTGCTCAGCCATCTCCCTCTTCAATGCTGCCAGCTCTCCCTCCATCTCCTTCACCACAGCAGCAGTCGCCTGTTCCTTCTGTCCCACAGCAATTAACATGTGCCGTAACCCATTCACCACCCTTTCGCGTTCAGTCAGCTGCTCTCTCACTGCTGCCAGCACCGCCTCCTTGACCACGTCAACCAGTGGCCCCACCGCTCTCTCAACATCCATTTCATCCATTGACTCCCCTCAACTCAATCAACTGTTGCTCAATGACCGACCCCTGCGTTCAATCAACTGTCTTCTACACTGCAGACTGGTGAAAGCAGACACGCCTGGGAAGGGCAGGGTTGAGAGTCTTTCGAGAAAACAGAAACGTAAAAGAAAGATGGAGAATGCACGAGGTGAGTGGACACACGAACAAGACCAATTACACGGGCGTGAGGGATGAGTGCGATGTGAGTAAGAAGGCATAGAAAGAGCAGCAGAAGAGGGGCACTTGATGAAACGATGAGGGAGAATGGGCTGAGCACATATCTGGGTAAAAAAACGCTTGTGCATCTGGCATGAAGTCAGTTTGGCATGGGGAGTCCGTGAGAAGCAGATAAAACAAGACTTGTGAACGACACGCACGGTGACACTGCAAATGGGTGCAGCAAGGCAGAAAAGGATGCACAGGATGAACGGCATAGAGCCGCAGAGTGCATAGCATAGGGTGGGGTGGTGATGTTAAAGGGGTTCACTGCGACTCGCATGGAGGATAAGAATACTAAGCAGAGAGAAGCGGCGACTTTTAGAACCAGTGAAATGACACCACAACCACAACCAACCAGCGAGAGGAACTAGAGAACACAGACACGGGAGAAAATGACCAGGTTGAAGTATATGACACGGGAGAAAATGACCAGGCTGAAGAATATGGCACGGGAGAAAATGACCAGGCTGAAGAATATGGCACGGGAGAAAATGAGAAATCTACTGCGTTGGTGGACTTACACCTGGGTGAGGTTGAGCTAGGGTGAGTCGTGTGATGCAAGGCTCATGGTGAACCCGACAGCTTCCAATGAGCCTTTCTGGCTTGGGCATTACTATATCTGAACTTCACAATTTGATGGTTGAAAACAACCGAACAATTTGGCACTCATGGTTGAGAAACTCCTTAGTTCGAAATGAACTGAACCGCATCAAACTGGATCGAAGTTCATTTCTTTTCTCATGACTAGTCTGCGTGAGCAATGGCCGGGTCACACCAGGCTCGCCGCTATTGAACCATTACAGGCATAATGCGGTTCGGTTCATTTTGGCTCGGCTCGGTTGGGGAGAGGTGAAGTACAGATCATGAGACTCAAATTGTTCTGGGGGTGACCTGGAGGCTCAGAACCGCCTACTGTTGAGACAACGTTGTAGTTACAAAAAGTATAGGCTAGATCGGTGAGCCTGGGCAAGGAGAAAAACAGCAGCACATGAAGGGTTTGGGCGAACAGTGCGTCAACCATGGTTCATACGTTAGGAGCCTTGACAATGCGAAATGCCGAGACCGGGGAAACAATAGCAATGCTCGTGGGTGTCAGAATGCTTACCTTGATTCAGGCTCGTGTTTCCGCAGTTTGCGAACGGGGTGAATCAGCAGCGGTGCCGCGGAGTCAGTCAAGCAGCAATGTGTGGTGCTGATGGCGAGGCTTGGGGATTCTGAAAGTGGTGCGAGGGAAGGGAGGCAGGGAGACAAGCGGGACTGGGCCGATGAGAAGAGAAGAGGAGTGGATGGCACGGGAGGCAGTACGAATGGCAACGAGGGAACTGCACCGCTGCTCGTACGCCACACTGTCCCACTGCTTGGCATTCGCTTGTTGACTGAAAGGTCACTCACATATCCACGTCAAGTCAATCTCGACTCGAAGTATGCTCGAATTAGGGCCGACTCGGCCTCAAAATCCGGATCGCGAGTCGAGAAGGGACTCGACTAGAGCTGAGTCTGACTGGACTCGAGCACGCGTTGATTCGACATGCCCTGTGCACATGTTTAAGCTACTACTAAGTCATACAAGGTCAGTCACAAGCTAGCTAGACTAAATTTATGGCCAGCAAGAGGCCAGGTCAGTTACGCTAGAGGTCATTCACGTCACGTGCTAGGTCGAGGGTCACTTGTTGGGTCGGTCACATGCAAGGTGACTGACAGCGTGACTGTATGAACCAGGGCGAGTAAAAGAAACACAAGAAGAGGCCGTGGGAGCAAATGCGCCCAGGGGCAGCAATCATGCGCCCAGGGGCAGCAATCATGCGCCCAGGGGCAGCAATCATGCGCCCAGGGGCAGCAATCATGCGCCCAGGGGCAGCAATCATGCGCCCAGGGGCAGCAATCATGCGCCCAGGGGCAGCAATCATGCGCCCAGGGGCAGCAATCATGCGCCCAGGGGCAGCAATCATGCGCCCAGGGGCAGCAATCATGCGTCCAGGGGCAGCAATCATGCGCCCAGGGGCAGCAATCATGCGCCCAGGGGCAGCAATCATGCGCCCAGGGGCAGCAATCATGCGCCCAGGGGCAGCAATCATGCGCCCAGGGGCAGCAATCATGCGTCCAGGGGCAGCAATCATGCGCCCAGGGGCAGCAATCATGCGCCCAGGGGCAGCAATCATGCTCCCAGGCCAGGGGCAGCAATCATGCGCCCAGGGGCAGCAATCATGCGCCCAGGGGCAGCAATCATGCGCCCAGGGGCAGCAATCATGCGCCCAGGGGCAGCAATCATGCGCCCAGGGGCAGCAATCATGCGTCCAGGGGCAGCAATCATGCGCCCAGGGGCAGCAATCATGCGCCCAGGGGCAGCAATCATGCGTCCAGGGGCAGCAATCATGCGCCCAGGGGCAGCAATCATGCGTCCAGGGGCAGCAATCATGCGCCCAGGGGCAGCAATCATGCGCCCAGGGGCAGCAATCATGCGCCCAGGGGCAGCAATCATGCGCCCATTTGCAGCAATCATGCGCCCAGGGGCAGAAATCATGCGCCCAGGGGCAGCAATCATGCGCCTGTGCCGCCGTAGTAACCACAACGCATTGATACGTTTCATAATGAGTACATAGTTTCATCGGTACATAGTTTCATAGTTTCATCAATATCTGCAATAGATGGGAGTGACGGGCATAAGAGAAGGATAGGCATGTGCGAAGGTCAAGCACCAGACAACTAATGGGATGCATGGGATGAGTTACGGGATGATGTATGAGACGAGGTGTGAGATGGGGCATAGGATGAGGCATGGGATGAGGTGGATGAGGTGGCATGAGGTGGGATGAGGTGGGGTGAAGTGGGATGAGGTGGGATGAGGTGGGATGAGGTATGAGATAAGGAGGCGTGAGGTCGTGGGGTGAGATGTGGGATGAAAGGCACGTGCACAGCTGTCCCCAGACTACTGTTTGCTGATAGAATACAAAATCGGCCGCTCGTGTTGCTCACATGTAATACCCCCACCATAGACTCAAAATCATTACATTTGGAGTGCTAATCATCCCAACTCCACCCATCCTTGTTCTGCCCTCTCCTCCAGCCTCACCACCTTTCACTCTCTCTATGCTATCATGGAAAGCTTATGGCACTGCTATTAGCAGCAGAGGGGAGATAAGTGCGGGGGCAGGGGAGCGGAGGGGTCGGGAGGGTAAAATGCGTGTGGTGCCTCTCTGTTGCTGCCATTAAGCAAACACCAAGGAGGAGGACGTTGGATGATGAGGGGGAAACGAGGGGGGGGGGGTGGTTACAGGGTAGTGGGAGAGAGGGTGGGGAGGTAAAGATCATGGGCCAAACAGGAAGCAAGTGAGGATTGAAGGGGTGAGGGGGTTGGTGACTGCATATCAGGTGGTCCTGGGGTACGTGATATGGGAGGGAAAGGAGAGGTGGTGTCTGAAGGTGCGATCTACGGTGCGGCTGCTTGGCTGGAATGGTGGGGAGTTTATGGGAGGGCAATGGCGGGTAGAGAAGGACCTGAGATGAGGAGGGGCAGCTGGTGAAAGGGTGCATGGCAAAAGACGAAAGATGGATGAATTCTGCGTGATGGGCCGATGTGATGTCAGGGGGAATGATGCTGGGCAGAGGAGAATTTGAGATGGATTGTCACTTGGTCTATTTACTGAGTGAATGGCAAGAAGGCTAAGCCAGATGAAGTGAAAGTGGGCCTGATGGGTTGCATCGATGGGTGCGATGGGTGAAGTGGGTCATTGGAGAATTTGGGATGGGGAAGAATCAGAGGAGGGAGAAAAGGGGTTGCAGTGGTGAGGGAGTGGTAGAAGGGACACAGGACAGGAAGGAAAGGGAGGGGGGTGGGGGGTTGAAAGGATTTGTGCAACACCTGTAAGTGACCACCCAGGAAGGTGATCAGCTCCATTGCCAAATCACCCTCTCACTTCCGCCACTCACAATGGCAGTGTCATGGCCACTGCTCTAGCTGCATGTGCTTTCAAGGAGTGTGCAAACACCCATGCTCTTATGCTCCCGTGCTCCCATGCTCCCGTGCTCCCATCTCCTTGCCTCGCCTCACCTGATCTTCCTCCCTCAGCGTCATTATCAGGTCGTGCCACCAATACACTGTCCGCGCCAATGCGCCATGAGCTGTTTCAAAAGAGGAGGGGGGGAGGGGTTTGCTAAGAAAGGACGCAGGGGGAAGGGGAACGGGTAGGAAAGCAAGGCAGCAAGGGGCACAGGCATGAGGACACAAACAGACTGTCCGCTCTAAGCAACATTAGCCCGAGTGGGAGAGGGAGAATGGCGGGGGGAAGGACGAAAGGTAGGAGGAGATGGGGGAGGGGAAGAGGTAAGTAAGAACGCTTCCATGCACAGGTGAACGACCGCAGCACCTACCTGATGCTTCAACAGTACCAAGCAAGTACATTTGCAAAAAAGATTCAAGCACGCGTGAACTGTCTGGAACCAGCAAGAAGACGCACCAGAAAGCACAACTTGTGCTTCTACTGCTACACTCACGCTGAACACCAGGTCGTACTCCTGGCCCTCGCATGCTCGCCCTCACTGCCCCTTCCCACTGGAAGCAGATTCAAACATGTAAATTGTCTGCAGCGCTGTAGTCACCAGAAAAAACACGCCACACTCACCCTGAACACCAGGTCGTGCTCCTTGCCTTCGCATGCTCGCACGGCCCCGCCGGCCCCGTGAAATTGGCGTTGCTAACGACAACCAGGCTCTTGCGCTTCTCGTGATGACCATCAGAATTACAGCATTGTCCCATGCTGTCAGACATGCCACGCCAGCCCGAGCTGTCGCTGCCACCTCCTCTCCTCCTCCACCTCCCTCTTACATCTCTCCTCCTTGTCTTCCCCCCCCTCTCCTCCTTCTCCTCCTACTGCTTCCCATTTCCGCTCTTGTCCCTCCTGTAGCCTCCTTCCCCCCCTCTCCTCCTTCGCCTCCTACTGCTTCCCATTTCCGCTCTTGTCCCTCCTGTAGCCTCCTTCCCCCCCTCTCCTGCATACGCGCAATACCCTCGTCTCTACTTCCCTCTCGGTCCTCCCCGTCCTTTGGTGCTGATGGTGTAGGAAGAGGATGAGTGTGGGGGGGAGTGGGAGAGAGCGCGAAGAAGGTAGGGGCGCACTGCTGGTGAGCAAGGAGGGGGGTAATGGTTCCGCATTTTAAAAGCATCGCTGCCAGAAGCACCATGCCGGGAGCAAAGAAGAGAAGAGTGACAAGCAGCAATGGATGGAAGCAGATAGTTAGCAAGTGCAAGGTTATTCTGATTCTCTCTGTCTACTTGGCGTCTCTCAACCCGTGTTGGCGGCACGTCGCCCTGCCTGCAGTCAGCAATGAGAAGCCAGCTGCAATCATGGCATGTGACTATGCCACGTGCTACCAATGAGCAGCGTGCAGCTGGCTCCTCCATAAACAAAGTCACATCAAGACTGTTGCCTCACTCTTTGTACCCATGCCTCCCTGCTCACCTGCGTTTGCCCATTCTCGCATGAATGTACTCTCGTGGCTCTGCCATGCTGCCCGGTCCCAGTGATGAGGCGGCGGACACCTCGCGACTAGCCCATGAGAGGTGCTTTTTGGTGCGGAAGGGAAAGGGGGCTGGGGGAGAGCACAAAAGAAAGAAGCGTAACTCAGAGGAGGGGGGAGGTGGACGACAACCGATGGCATTGCAAATGGGTAGCGCGCATATCCATTCTGCCTTGGCTTGGCAGCACACTGGCGCCAGAAACGCCACTCTGGGCGCGAAGGAGATGGCGCAGGAGTGAGAAAGAGAAGCGAAGACAATTCCTCTGCCAATGTGGCGAAGGTGCATTCCTCCCTTCTCCGCTTCTCTCACCTCGCACCATGGTCGCCATGCTGCCACTTGGAGCTTGTCAGCTGAGAGGCTGTCAACTGATAGCCGTCAAGTGATAGCCGTTAGCTGATAGCCGTCAGCTGATAGCCGTCAGCTGGGAGGATCCGCCTTTCCACCCACTGGTACGATCCAGTAGTGCATCCTTCCACACGGAATGAGAAGCACGAGAAAGCATGCTCAGATTCATATTGCCGCGTCAGCTAACCAGCGCCAGAAACGCCGTACTGCCATGGCCGATGACGCCTGCTATCCGCCTCCTTCTAATGCGCAGCGGTGCGTGCTGAAAAATATCAGCGATTTGAGTTGCGGGCGCACGAGAAAAGAATGGCACGCTGAGACTGCTTCGCCATCACGCTCGTCGCGATGTTCTAACCGCCAATGGCTAGGTCGCACGCAACTAGTGACTATTAGGTCAAAGTTCGGTTGAAATTGCTATTGTGGCGATAGCGCGGCGGTGCGAATCAGCGACGTCTTTCCAAATGTTGTGAAACAGATCCTAACCTTATGAGCTATGCGCACTCATCTTCGAACATCGGTTCATAAAACGCGACGGGACCCGATTGCTAGTTGCTTGCACAACTGCTTTCAGTCTCACTCGGACGGAAGCCAACAGGTGGTAGCGTGAGGGATCTATGAAAGTCGAACGTGAAAGCGCTAAGGGCCTGTCTAGCACACGAATTAGGTCGTCAGATTAGACAGGTGCAACACAATTAGGTTGAGTGCTGGTTGAAAGGACAGTTCAGAACACTTTTGTCTGTGGATTTGTTCTATGTAACACCGTGTTACCAAACCAAAGGGTTGCAACCAGCCTGGATCGAACACTGCTGCAGTTGCAACATAACACTACTAGCAGTGTCCAACGGTAATGACGGGACCTTCGCGAATCGCGACGATCATGCGACGATGTGACGACTCTGCTTATAGCGAGCTTTGAGTCACGAGTCGGGAAACATCACGCGGTCCATTCGACGTAACGTCATCGCCGATCACGCGAGCGTGTAGATCAAACGATGTGACAGCCTCCTTCCTCAGTCATGAAACCCGAGTCCAGGGGAACGTCGCGGTTCGCTTTATCCAGTCCGTTAGATGCGACGATCACGTTTAAGGGTGGACTCCGTCAGCGGCTTGGCGATGACACGTCAGTCGCGCAAGGAATTTGATTTCGAGTCCACCTCCTCGTGTTCTCCAACGATCGCCCGCACCTGTCTTCCCCTAACCTTCGCGCGCGTCGCATCGTAGTGTCTGCGGTGCGCCGGTCGAGAATTTTCGATTGTAGCAGCGCCACGTCACGATGCCTTCGATTTGAGTCACGGGCTGCCGTGTGCGGTCATCCGATTCAGCTTACCTTGCCTCGATTCTATTGTGAGAAAGATGGTTCCTCGCGGTGATGTGGGAGTGTGCACACCCGTCGGTCCCTCCTCCTCGCGCCTCTAGACTCTGAAACCCTAAGCGAGTGTTTGCTCCAACAAGCAACAGAGTTGCTTCATCTAACTGCGGCTGTGTGTCCATTTGTCTCAACTCCCTCAGTTCCCCGCGCATCTCGTGCTAGTAGCCTTTCTCGCTCGTCTTTTTGGAAAGCCTCTTGTACGTGCGCATCCGTTAGTCTAGCTTATGAAGACTATTTAGAGCCTTAGTAGCATGCATGGGAAGCTCTGGCTTCAACCGTGTGAAGGAATCTGCTAGAAAACGCCAAGGCAGAAAGTAATTTCATTGAAGAAGGCATACAAAAACAGAAAACACAAAGTTATAAGCAAAAGGATTTCTGATTTCGCCCTCGCGCCGCGCCTAATTTCAAGCTGAGTTGTACTCGGCTCAATTTCGAAATCCAACCATGCACCGAACGCGCCTCGTGTTCGAATTTCAGACATTCTTGGACGCGCCTTTGACCCGGCGTGACTTCCCTTCACGTCACTTGAAATCTCGATACTTCCACCTTGTTCTTCTCCACTTCTGCACGCTTCCCCTTGGCCCTGTTCGGCTGGCGCATCAGTGGTGAGGCTCGGGTACCAGCTCAGGCTCGGATGTGGTGCTCGGGTACCAGCTCAGGTTCGGGTGTGGTGCTCAAACGAGTGGTAGTGGTTTGGGGTTTGTCAAAACAGCCCAATTGGTCTGTCAAGTTTGTCAAACTCGCGGAAGGTATATGTTGAGTTTCATGCTGTTTTGCCTCACACATGTCAGGGCTGCCCCCACGCTTGCAGGGACGGGACCAAACGTTTTTGAGGAGGGAGTGTTCGTTTGTGCGGGGGAAAGCTCGCTGGATGATTCTTGGCGGGCACGTTATGCTGCCCCGCATCAGCTGGTGCTGCCCCGCATCAGCTGGTGCGCGCATGGTGCTAGCTCTCCACGGATGCACCATGCGCGCATCAGTGGTGCGTCGGTTTGCCAGGAGAGGAGGGTTCCGGTAACGCACATTCGGTTCCCGAACCTGGGGCCAAAAAGGGTGTTCGGCTGGCATCATGCACCAGTTCGCTTCGGTGCTCATGCGCCTATCCCAGACCCGAGTCAGCTGATCCCAGACCCGAGTCAACACTTGTCCGCTTATCTCAGAAGCTTCGAGGGAGCACACTTTACTGTTGCCGGTCCCCGAGCCTGTGCCTGATGCGCCAGTCGAACAGGGCCCTTCTTCTCTTCAATTCCCACTGCAGGTCCCGCCGCCGTGTTTCTTCATCCACCGCCCCAACAGAAGTAGCTTATCTTCTTCTTAGGTCCTTGCTTTTTCCCTTAGTCTCAGCCTGTCAAGGTAGGTCCTTCGTAAGTCGATTTAGGTCCCTCTAGGTCGTGGTTAGCTAACCACTTTCAACATTTCTTTCCTTCGTGCAGTCCAACGACCGTAGTAGTTCGCACGCTGGTCGAATCCGAGGAGGATTGGACCGCGCGAGCGCCGCCATGCCTCATCACGACGACATCGCGGCAGCGATGTGCTGCCATCTGTCACACGCTACTTCGTTCTCGTCGCACCTCCTCTCCCTCCCCTTTCCCCTCCCCTCCCTCTCCGCTCACCGGCCTCTGACGTCCTTCATTGACCCGCGTTGCGTGACTTAAGGCCTAGCCGTTCATAAGCGACTAGTGTGTACATTTCCATTCGTTTCACGGCTTCCTCTTTCCGGTGTCTCGGTCGCGCTCGCACCTTAAGACCTCATCCCCACCTCAGCACAGCAGAACCGTCACGGTGTGCTTCAGGTATGAGTTTCCTCGTTACTCGTGGTGCCACCACGCACCACGTCCACTTCCACCTCTCATGCATCGCCCTTCCTGTGCCCAATCGCCTTCATACATGCCATGGCCCATTCCTCTTTCTCCATCTATGTTCCTGTCCCTCGCCTGATTGCTTTGTTCAACATGTCCATCGAATGGGCCTAAAAGTGATTCCTGCCCTGATCTTTCTCTTTTCAAGCAAATCCCTGCATCTGTGATTATTTTCAATTCCACCATGACCTCGCTCTGAAGTGTGACGCTGTGCCACATCCGTTCTAGGTTCAGACGTACGCCCTTCTAAGCGTTGCACCTGGCCCATCCTCACAACTTGACCTCCGTGCCCTTATGGTCCACCTGTATCCATCTCATCCCAGCCATGGCACAGTCATGGCCTCCTATGCACAGTCATGCCACCACTGTCTTCCTTATCCTACTGCTTTTTTCCTCCCCTACTTGCTACACTCCTCCGCTGCAGCTGCTGCCACTAGCCCCCTCTCCCTTCTGTGACGGCCGCCACAGCTGCTTATCCCCCACTATACTCCCTGCTATTGCCACCGTTCTCCTCTTCTTTCCCCCCTACTTCTGCCACTACTCCCTTCTCTCCCCCCACTCAGTTACTGCCACTTGCTCCCCCTTCCCCGCAATTCCCCTTAGCTGCAGACTCACTCTTTTCATTTGTTATCCCCTCCCTTACCTTGTTATCCTATCCATCCTGTGCTCCTGCTTCCCCTCTCCCTCCACTGCTCCTGTGCAGGCGCACGCCTTGCATTTGGCTCGCCCGATCAGCCACGGCTCGGATGACTGCGCTTCCAGGGCTGCTGCTGGTGGCTTTCCTTCTCAGCGCTGCCATCGCAGTCATCAGCATCACTCCACTTGGCAGGGATGCGCCGATTGCAGCGGATGTGAGTAATTACTGCCATAGCAACGAATTGTTATCGGCACTGCCATTTCAGTCATCCCTCTCATCAGTATCACGCACATGGATGCTTATTGTTGGCACCCCCGCTATGAATGTTGTGAGTTGTGATCACTAACATGACATGTCGACGGTCCGGGCCCATTCTAAGATTGCTGCGCATAAGTTCCACATCTGTGTCGTGAGTCTGCCTTGCGTTGAGTCTTAGCATGCACCTGCACTTCCTTGTTGCTTCTGCAGCTTCCCACGTGACACCGACAGCCAGACAATCAGCCACTCTCTCATGCTGCCCTCTCCTTCTCTCTATTGTGCAGTTGCATGCTCTTGCCATATTCTTATAAACATGTGTGTTTTTGTGTGGATATGCGCGCATGCATGTGTGTATGTATCTCACTTTGCATGCGCGCGTGTGTTTTCTTTCTGCCTCAGGTCAGTGCCGTCTCCCCCTACTGTCAGCACACCCTTGCTCCCAACGTGCCTCTTCAATCCTTGGTACGTATTGGGATATACAAGGCTTCTGAAAATTCCATCTTGCTGCAACCAACCATTTTGTCATCATCCAATGTTCCCTCTTTCATATTTCTGCTCACCCTTCCCTTATGCCCCTATTTATCCCACCTGTGCAGTCTCGGGATGCGATACATCTACTCGTGCCGTACTTCGCAATCGCTATTCTCGCCCTGCTGTGGGGGATGGGCGTGACCCACACGCAAGTCAGAGCATGGGTGCATCAGCAGGGCTTGGCTGTGACGGCTGGGCTGATGAAGCTGAAGAGTGCAAGCGAGTGCCTCCTGGTATGCCGTGCGCTCTGCCCTCCACCAATGTAGCTTTGCCCCACTGCCAATCTCTTGCCTTCTGAGCTCTCTTCCACCACCACTCCTTTGTACACTCATTCATGCATAATTGTCCAATCGCTTTTTAATTCCAAACTCTTGCTTTATCATTTCCTCACTGTCTATGAGTGATTTCATTGGTGTAGAGCGGTTTGCCTTGGTATTGACCATGTTTTCTTGTGCCGTATGCTATGCGGTGCTTATTCACCTCGTTTACACTCATCTCTTGCTGCATAACTATTTGTTCTCATCTCATGTGCTTCTTACTTGACCTTTCTTACATTTACATGTTCTTGCCCTTTCTTCCTTGTGACCTACCCATGGCTCTTTTCTCTTTCATACTACTCTCATCTCATGCTGTAAACCGTTCATGAATCTACATTTTCCCACCTTAGACATCATAATCAGAAGCTGCCCTCACATCACCCGTGCTGCTTAAAACTGACTCCACTCTGCCTTCCTCGTATTGTTTCCCGAGTCTCCACTTGCATTTACTCTCATCTATCTGCTGCAATTCGCACCCATGTGTTTCCATCCGTGTACTGCCATGCGTAGGAAGCATGCCTCATGCAGAGAGTGGCTGTCATGTCAAGTATGAGTGGAACACATGAGTTGGGTGAGACATTAGAGATGAGAATGAGGGAGCTTGGCGTGCAGCTGGAAGAGACAAGGAGGGAGATACGAATGAAGGTGGGGGAGGAGAGAGAGCTGGCAGAAGAATTGGCAAGAGTGAAGCGGGAGTTGGCTGCAGTGAATGGGGAATTGGCTGAACACAAGGGTGCAGTGACGGAGCAGAATGATAAAACAAGAACGGAATTGGCAAGGGAGAAGGAGGAGAGGAGGGGGGATGTGCAGGAGTTAAATGAGTTACGCGCTATGGAGGAATTAGCTGCCGTCAATGAGTGGTGGCCGATGAAACAAGATCTGGAGTATGAGGCGAAAAACAGTCAGAGTGAAGGAGATCGAAAGAATGTATTGGAGGTGAGTTACTGTGCCATGGGGCAAGCATTGCTTGTTCTTTTCTTGTCATAGTAATTTTCCTTATTGATATGCCCCTTTTCACCCATTCACTCCAGGCAATCAAGTTTGCATCATTCAAACTGGACCTGAGCGACTGCACCGGCCTGTCAGATGCCATGCTCGGTCATGTGTCCACCATGACCCGTTTGGCGAACATCAACTTAGACTCTTCTTCAGGCTTCAGTGCCGAGGGCGTCAAGCATCTCTACAGGCTTCCACGGCTGAAGAAGCTAAACCTCAGCAACACAGTCATCTCAGACAGTGCCTTAGAAGGCATTGGATCCTTGACCCGCCTCAAGGGGCTCCATCTCGACCAGACCATGGTGACTGACGCTAGCTTGCTGCACTTGACAGCTCTGCCCTCTCTTGAAGTGCTGCGGCTTTCTGAATGCGGAGGTGTGACGAATGCTGGCATGTTGGTAGTGGGGAGGCTGAGCGGGCTTGAGAAGCTTGTGCTGGATGGAACGTCAGTCACAGATGCAGGTCTGCCGCACTTGACAAGCCTCTTTTTTCTTGAACTGCTGGACCTCAGTGACTGCAAGGGTGTGACGGATGATGGCATGGTGAATGTTGGGAGGTTGACTGGGCTGGAAAAGCTTAAGCTGGATCGAACAGCAGTCACAGATGCTGGTCTGCTGCACTTAACTGCTCTTCACGCCCTCAAAGAACTGCAAATTTTTAAGTGCAAGGGTGTGACAGATGCCGGCATGGTGCATGTGGGGATGTTGACATGGCTTGAGAGTCTTTGGATGAATGGCACAGCAGTCACGGATGATGGGTTGCAGCAGCTGACTGCCCTGACCAAGCTGATATGTTTGGGGCTGCCAGGAGGGGACACACTTTGGGGCGATGATGTACACAGGCGGATAGGCAGGTAGGTGGCAGGGATTGATGATGGAAAGGGAGGTGAGGCGAGGGAGGGAAGGGTTGACTGTGAATGTCTAGGGGAGACTGAGGAGGTGCGTGGAGGCAAGGGGTGTGAAGAATGAAGGGGGACATGCATGCGGAGAGTGAGGCATGGAATTGTGGTTGTGCACGGCTCAGCTTGCATGCTGCAGAGATCTGGAGCGTGGTGGTGTATCAGGGCGCGTGTCTTTTGTAAAATTTATGCAAAACTCGAGTTTTGAGTTGAACTGTACGCAGTTGAACCTAGGTCGACCTAGGCTCGACAATATCGGCAGATGTAACCCGAGTCGCTGCTCCTCAACTCACAAGGAACACAGGACACACGAAAGCTCAACTATCGTAGTTGAACTTTCCCGAGTCGCGGTCAACCTACGTAGGTTACCCTGTTTGCCACGCGTTTTCGACGATGCTATAACATTTTTTTCCAAAGTCAATCGGCGCACGAATTGTGCTGCGACTGTCGCCGAATTCGCAGCTACCTTGTGATTGTCAAGAGGACAAAGTTCAACCCAGGCTTAGTACCATTTCATCAACAATGTTGTACTAGGACATACGATACCCAGGCAAAACATGTAGCAAGATTTGCGAACAACCGTTACCAGCAAAAGTTCAACCAAATTTCCGAACCTCTACAGCAAAAGACACGCGCCCTAACTGGTGCCTTGCAGTTGGACAGCAGCAAGTGCAGGGCTGGTTGGGCAAGAAACCTGTGTGCATGAGGGGAGCTGCATATGAATAAGCTGTGTGCATTTCTTATGATGGAGAGGGGAGCAGTCATCAGCAAGGGGAAAACGGCCAGAAGCAGGGCGGACGGGGAAGGGGAAGGGGAGTTGGAGGCCATGCAGAGCAGGAGGAAGGGGAGAGGAGGCGAGGAAGCTTGGGAGAGGGCGAGCAAGAGAGTAGTGAGGGAGGCGAGCATGGTTGGTGAAGCAGTGGCAGCAGCAGTGGTGGCGGCAGTGGCGGCTGCAGCAGTGGTGGGCGAGGTTGAGATCAGGGGTGAGGAATGCTTTGCGTGGCTGTATGAAGAGACCGTGGTAGACCACTGCCCACCACTGCTGCTGCCACTGCTTCCAGTTTACGGCAGACCGGCCACTGATGTGCCAATGCGTAGGTGAGAGAAGCTGAGTAACCAACTTGCATTCACATGAAGAATCAGAATTGTTGTCTCAACCAATCTCCTTTCCCCCATCCATTGCTGCAGCGCACGGCCCCCTCTTTTCGTGCCCTTGCTGATGTTCGCTGACAAACGAATGATTCTGCGCACTACTTTCCCCCTCAATTCTGCGCATTGATATCAGCCATTAGCGAATCCCTGTCTTACCTCCTCCCCTCTCTCCCCCTCGCACCCTGCTTCTGCCCTCACCAACAGCAACTGTCCCCATGAGGAGCCCAACCTATCGCTGCGATAGACAGCGGGGCAGCATGGCAGAGCCACGGGCTGCACAAACAGCAGCAGTGGTGGCGTTTGAAATGGGCAGCATCACGTTCAAGGAACACAACACTTCCAGACTCACGGGCCGAAACAGAAGTAGCAGCAGAAGTGGCGTTGAAGGCGGTCAGCGGCGAGTGGAGTGGGGTGGGCAGGAGGAAGGAGTGGGAGGGAAGAGGGAGGCAACAGAGAAGGTAGCTGCGTGCCTGGCCTCAATCCCCTCACCTCCTTTTTTCTTTCCTTTCCCCGCCCCACCATTCCAATCCGAGCAATTTATTAGAAGGATAGCCACAACGCTCTTGGTCGCATTCCAGACTGCGCCGCAGCAAAGCAAACTCACATCCACTGCTTCTGTTCACCCTGCCGCCGTCTCTCCTCCCTGCAGAATCAGTGCTTTCCATTCTGCACCAGCCACGATCACCGTCATCACCACCATACCATACCACTTCTGCAAGTAGGACCGTGCCATCCCCAGTCCCTTTTCCCCCAATTGCCACCCTCTCTGGAAGTGCTGACGGAATGGGGACAGCAGCAGGTTCAACGGATGCATGCAGCTGTCTCTGTGGAAGTAGCAGGAGCAAGAGGTAGGCGAGCGAGATAGGGAAGAGGCACGGCGTGGGGGGCTGCAGCGGCGGAGCATGGAAAAGCAAAAGCAGAAAGAGAATCAGCACAAAGAGTTGGTGGTGAAGTTGTAGCGAGAGCAGCGGGAGCGGAGAAGTATCTCAACAAGACGTGATCGCTTACAGGGGAGGCACGGATGAAGTTGTGGAGGAGAGTGTCAGGCAAACACAAGGAGGGACAGCAGATGTGGAGGCTGGTAAAACAGCAGCGTGTATCGAGTCACCTTATAACGAAGCCACATGATGGCGGTGGTGCTGCTGATGTTGTGGGGCGGAGGGCGAGCAACGCAGTGGGCAGGTTGCACCGTGGCCTTGCAGGAGTAGGCACTGTTCAAAGGCTTCTGTGGGAGATCCAGGATGATTTTTATTCTCTAGCCCCTGAGGACGAGATGCCACGGGGGTTTGGATGCTCAAGACGTCAAGAACATGGCAACTATGAGAGATCTAAGGTAATTCTACCTGCCCTCCTCCAACCCCCCATATCTTTTTGTCCCCAGTCCCGTCTTCTCCCCCCTCCTCCTCCCCTCCTCCCCCCCCCCCCTCCTCTTGTCAACCCCTCCAACCTTCATCCCCTCACCCGCTTCTTGTTTCTCACCCTGAACCGTTCCCTCATTCTGCCTGAATGCATCGCCTGAGCATTCGTGCTTCTCCTTCCGTCTTCCCAAGCTTCATCCTTCCCACCAACCCTTCCTTCGCTCACCCCCCCTACACCAGGACCTATCAGTGTTACAAATGAGCCACCAGCTTTGGGAATGCAACCCTGCTGCACTCCTGCTCCTCCTGTCCGGCACCCCTCCGAACCGGCCCTCCACCACGCCGTGGCTTTCAGGTACGTCTCTCCCGGCACCTGCGCTCGCCCCCTAGTTTCAGCCGGACAGGGAGAGGTGTGGGGAGAAATGGGTGTGGGTGGGGCAGGAGGTGGGTGGCAGAGAGGGGGGAGATGGTGGTGTGGAACTTACGGCAACCCAGGCAGGGAGTTCTACAGCTGCATTATACGGATGATGCATCCTAGGCACGAGCATGGGCTGGGCCGCAGGCCGGTCAGGCCAAAGTGTTTGAAAATGTGGGTCGAGTAGGGCTGGCCCGGCCTGGCATTCCGAGGCGAAGGTGGCCCGGGTCGCAGTCCGGAGTAGGGCTGGTCCGGTGGTCCAGGTCGATTTCCGGCATGGGTCGGCCTGGTCAGTGATGCGCACCCGAGCCGGACACGTCACCTTTGAAGGTGCGGCGACGGGGGTTTGGGTGGCCGCTAGAAGGGGAAAGAGATTGACAAGGGAGAAGTGTGGGCGCGAGCAGGGTGTTTGTATGTGTAAGGGAGCAGGGGGGGATGTGGGTGCAGGCAGGGATTCCTCGCGGACCAAACCGAGATCGGCCCAGCCTGGACCTACCTTGGCACACATCAGGCCAGAAGCCCTAGCCTCATATACCGGCCCACATGCCGACTATCCAGCAAGCCGGTCCAGGTTGGCCCTGAGCCCAGCACGCCCATGAGGCCGGCCCATCCCGACCCGTACTCATGCTCAGTACATCCACGTTTGCAGTGGCAATAGGCTGTTGCTGCGTTCACTGCGTTCACAGCCCTCCATCCCTGCATGCATCCATTGCTTGCATTGCCTTCTTACCTCTTCCCTGCCCCCATTTATCTACTCCCCTTTCCCATCCTTCCTCCCCATCCTTATCCCTCTCCCACTCGCGGATAATGTTCCTTAGTGCGGACAGTTTGTTCGTGTGCTCATGTCTGCGTCCCTTGCTGCCCTGCTTGCGCCCCCTTTCATCTCTCCTGCGAGTTCGTCCTTCCCACCTCCCCCCTCGCCTCTCCTGACCTAAACAGTTCATGCGCATTAGCCCTGAGGGACTGTGTGTGTGTGATGTATGGCATGTGACACGAACGACCTGGTGGTGGAGCCGCTGAGGCAGGAAGAGCAGCTGAGGCGGCAATTGATGCCACGAGCATCGTTTGGAGGGATATAAGGCACACGATCCGCATCTCCATTCATGGTGAACAGGGTAGGTGGGTGAATGGGTGGGAGCGATGCGTGTACGTGCATGGTGTGTATGTGTGGATGGCGTTTGGATAGTGTGTGCATGGAGTGTGCATGGTGCGTGCATGGTGCGTGCATGGAGTGTGCATGGTGCGTGCATGGAGTGTGCATGGTGCGTGCATGGTGCGTGCATGGAGTGTGCATGGTGCGTGCATGGAGTGTGCATGGTGCGTGCATGGTGCGTGCATGGAGTGTGCATGGTGCGTGCATGGAGTGTGCATGGTGCGTGCATGGAGTGTGCATGGTGTGTGCATGGTGCGTGCATGGAGTGTGCATGGTGTGTGCATGGTGCGTGCATGGAGTGTGCATGGTGTGTGCATGGTGCGTGCATGGAGTGTGCATGGTGTGTGCATGGTGCGTGCATGGAGTGTGCATGGTGTGTGCATGGTGCGTGCATGGAGTGTGCATGGTGTGTGCATAGTCTGTGCATACCGTGCATGGTGTGTGGTTTGCAGTGCACTGATTTGGCACAGTTGGCGAGAACATGTCACCAGTGCATGGTTGAGTGGGAGATACCTTCCTTTCTGTCATACACCAGGCAACAACCCCCTTCCGCTCATCCTTCCATCCCCATCCCCTTCTCTTTCCCTCTCCCTTTCCTCCCCAATCGCCCTCCTGTACTGCACATGTATATGTTCCCCCCAGATTCTCTCCCTCTCGGCCTTCCGAGCCTCTTTCTTCCCATCCCCCCCTCTTCCCATCCTCCTTGGTGGTTGGCTCTTGGTGCCAGCACAGAAGCACCACCTTCCTTTAAATTTTCAAGAGTCCATTTTCCTGCCCCCACTACTCCACCTTCCCTTCCTCTGTCCTCTCCATGTTCCTGATGGAGTTGTCGTCTTGTCTCTCGATGTGGTGATGCATGGTGCATGGGTAGAACCAAGATGGCTGGATCTAAGCACTACGAATCAAAATCTCGTCAAACGTTATGGTTAGTTACATGAGCAACGATGTTTGTGTGGGCACGCACAACTCATCGCACACCTCATCCCACGCCTCAGTCCAAGCTTTGTATGGCACCTGCTCCCATACCTCATCCCATACTACATATCCCTCTGGATCACACTCGCGTCCCTCATTCCCTGCTTGCCCATGCGTGCTCCTCACTCATGCCTGCCCTTCACACGGTCTCTCGCAGCATTACCATCCTCTTGAGCTCAGAGAGACACGAGACGAGATGGGTGCCACAGAGCAGCAGAAGCTGAGTCAATGGTAACCAACCATTGGAGGAGCATTGCGCAAGTGGAGTGTGGCTGAAATAACGAGGTGCAATTGTGGCAGCTTCTGTTTTTGCAGCCGGAATTCACAGGTGTTTTTATTAGTATATCATCATCAGCCATGTATCCTGAAGCAGACCAATGTACTGCAGGAGGTGATGACACACGGAGGGCAAGCTGCTCGCAACACTAGCACGAACCACATTCATGATCTTCTGCTTGCCATGTATTTCAGTAAGAACCACATTGGAGTGAGCACTCTAAATTGGACAACGGAACGGAAGCAAACTTACTCATGAAGTGCAACAACCCAACTACCACATTGTGTACCAATCTATATTGATGGCATGTTCGCACATCTCGGCATCTTCTGATGGATATGGCATCATCACATCAGTATCAAATCAAGATGAACAATCATGCAAAGAATGCTAGGGTGTTCATGTTCCGAAGCAACGAATTACAAGCTCCATCATACACACTAAACCCTCTCCTAAACATACGTACTTCCACACCCTGCACCCAAACAGCCAGAAATTGTTTATGCAGTTCCGCTCATGCGGCCATTCAGACACTAAGCACCCCTTAACTCAACCATCGCCAACCGCTGCTGCTGCCGCAGCTGCTACTGCCATCGCTGTTGCTGCCGCCGCCGCTGCTGCTGCCACTGTTCCGGCCACTGCTGGTGCCGCCTGCTGTTGCCTCCATTGCTGCCACCACTGCTGCCACCACTGCTGCCACCACTGCTGCCACCACTGCTGCCACCACTGCTGCCACCTCTGCTGCCACCTCTGCTGCCACCACTGCTGCCACCTCTGCTGTTGGCACGGCTCCTGCCACTGCTGCTGCCGCCCACCATACTCTATTGCTCGCCCTTGTACCCAGATTCCCCACCTCCCCCCCGCCTTCTCCTCCTGCTCTGCCTCGCCTCCCCCCTCCCCTTCCCTTTCCCCGTCCCACCTGCTTCTGACCGCCAGCACTCCACCACAAGAAAAACCAGGCAGCCACTTCCTTTGCAGCTCCTCTCGTGCACATGAGATCTCTTGCCCGACCAGCCCTACACCTGCTTCTTGCTGTCCGACTGAAAGGCACCAGTTTCACACAACAATTCTCCAACTCTCTGCAGCATGCAGATTTAGCCGTGCACAACCACCACTCCATGCCTCACTCATCCGCATGCATGCCCCCAGTGCACTTCACACTCCTTGTCTCCACGCCTCTCCTCAGTCTCCCCTAGACAGCCACGTCACACTCCACTCTTCCCTCACCTCACCTTCACTGCTGCCAACTCTCTCTCCCTCTCCTTCACCACAACAGCAGTCGTCTCCTCCACAGCAAGCAACATTCGACGCAGCTCATTCACCTCCTCCTTGTGTGCAGTTGACTCCTCTCTCACTGCTGCCAGCACCGCCTCCTCCACGTCAATCAGTGTACCCATCACCCTCTCAGCAGCCATATCATCCAATAAAACCCCCCAAACGACCCTCGTGTATCGACTGCAGACTACACAAACAGACAAGCGGGGGTGGGGCAGGGTTGAGTCTCTTGAGTTGAGAGGGAAGAAGGAGAAGCGGCATGGTCAGTGCACACACGAACAATACCAATTACACAGGCATGCGGCACCGGGCAGTGATGTGAGTAAGAGAGGAGATAAGGAGCAGCAGAAACGGAAGACTCGATGACAAGATGTGAGAGAAGTATGGTTTGAGGACATGGCTGGATGAAGCAGTGAGAGGAGAGACTTGTCCACCACACTACACTCATGCATTTGGCATGAAGGAAGGTGGCAGTAGAACAAATAAGGGGATGCAAAGTCGATATTTTGAAGACATATGTCTTTTCGCATAGCTCCTCTCGGGCTAGGTCAGTCAAACACAGGCTAGGTTAGGCAAACCCTAGATCTGTGAGAGCCTAGGTATGTATGTGACAGCATGGTGAATGAGCCAATGAGAAAACAAGCAGCACGTACAAGGGTCCATGTCCAGGCTAGCAATGTATCGAGGGGCAGGGGCAACAATGTGTCTTGGCGTTGTGCTGAATCCGTAAGGCCACTCGGTAGGTAAAAAAGGCTACACATCACCATGTTATACACATGACGTACTGCGAGCACCATAGTTTGTACGATGGAAGCCTTGCAATGTGGTGGGCAATGTTGGAGGGGTCAGAATGCGTACCTATATTTAGGGTCTTGTTGACTGCCGTGTTATCACGGCGGATCGTGGAGTGACTCGGCAGCGGCAGCGAGGAGTAACCGGATCTGCAGTGCGTGGTGCCTATGGCGAAGCTTGGCAATTCTGGAATGTTGCGCGGGAAAGGGAGACAGCGACGCGAGCAGGACTGGGGAAGTACTCAGAGCAAGTACTCAACACCACCATGCGGCGGTGGAGGAGAAGCATCGAGTGAAGGTGCGGCAAGTCGACAACTTGGGTGGAAGGAGAAGGTTGACAAGAAAGGGTGATGAAACAAGGGTTGGAAGAAGCGAACCGATACAAAATCGTCGAAGCGCACGGTTCGGCAGTAAAAATACGCTGAACCGCGCAAGGCAGTGGTCAAAACCGCTATCCACGCAAGTTGTCAGAAAAAGATCGCCGATTCACGCGGATCGACGGTCAACATCGCCAATTTGCATCATCAGTGGGCTAAAATGCCGATCCTCACCGATGTAACGGCAGGAATTCAAACGAGGACATAGAAAAGGCATGGATGGTCATGGATGGTAACTTCACAAGCACATTCGTCGTACTGTCCACTCTTGTCGTAGAGAAACCAAGAAGGCACACGGAGTACGGAAGGAAGAACGTCAAGGAGAAGTTATAGAACATGCGAAGTGGGTGGTCAAGGAATATCGCGGTCATGGATGGTCATAGAAGATTCCAAGGCTCTCAATCGAACGCCCTGGTTGGACCCAGGTGAAACTAACCCGCATGTATTACGCTTATCTTATTCAAGCATAACAGGTCTGAAAGAAAATAACCAGAAAGCTGTCACCAAAAAGCTAAAGGACATATGAGTGCCCATAGACTAGTTGCAAAGCCACACAGGCTCTTACAGTCGCTGGGGCGATGGAGATCAAACGACTGAGATGCCCAGATCACGTGCAACAACCCCAGGCTGCTCAATGACTGGGAAGGGCCTAAACAGTGCAGAAGAATATGGGAAAAATAGTTCGAATAATGAAAAATGACACCACAAACAGAATTCAAACTTGTTCATCACCAAGCTTAGGAACCACTAGCACAAAGGTTCAAGCTTCCGCATTGCTCACACGCCAACACTACACCTGCTTCTGTTGTCTACCGTTAGCTAGCCGCCCGCGTCCATCGCCCGTCTACATCCCGCGGGATTCTGACGCTCCTGAACCCTTTTCTTCTGGTCGTCATTCTCCATCCGCCACTGACCTCACCCCTAAACCTCGGCATCTCCCTGTCCCTCAGTATCCTCCCTTTCCTTCCCATTTATTTACATCTCGAATGCACAGCCCAATGCAATCCCGTCATTCCTCGACGCCCTTCTCCCTCTCTACGTTCTCCAACCTTCTACCACCTTCGCCCTGGCGGTTCTCTTACTCACTCTCCGCCATTCTACCGTATCCTCCCCTTTTTTCCACGCAGCAACGAAGGCGGGTGCTCACAAGGGAGCCAAGGGTACATTCTATAACTTGAGACAAAGCAATTTGGTTGACTTCAACTATATCGTGTACTACAAGGAACGAGGAAAGGGAAACAGCAAAGTCGGCTGTGCTTACAGTGAACGCGAAAGTGGAGCGAAGTCCCTTGTGTGCACCGCCTCGACAGTGCTTAGTGAAGGGTTTTTTTAGGGTTTGAGTGCTGAAGAAACCGCACGAGGAGACGAGCTTCCCGTGAATGGTCACGGGAGCAGGGTTGCGTCGTGTACCTTCCAGAAAGGCACGCTGAGAATGGTAGGAACTAGTGATGAAGGCTGGGTGATGCGAAGGGCTGAAGACGTTACATGGGACATGCGAAGAGAGCTGAAAGGGCCCGAGTGCACCGCATTGCCACACGGTTGAGCCTCATGCGTTCACGATCGACTCATGCGCTCGTTGAAGCTCCGTGGCGATTCAGCAATGGGGGCTGGAGCGGGGGCGGATGCCGGTGCTCATCTTATCCTTTCGGGTGGATTGGGATGATAGATCGGACGTGTGGCGGTGATGACGCACGACGAGGATGAATGGAAGGATGAACGGAATGATATGAACGGTGAGATAAATCGATAACCCATCACGGATGGGCGTGCGGCGCGAACCGCTGATTGAATGGGTGTGATGGTTGCCGCAGTGCGTCATCGCCAAAACTAAGTGTCGGTGGGGTATATCTGTGGGTGGGTTGCTTCAGCCCACCAAGTGGTGACGGGAACGAATCGTAGCTGCGCATATGGGGTGCTGTGGAATTCGCAGCACTTTACTGAGGGCTTCGATATTGGGATCATGAGGCTTTGTGCACGAGCAGTGATTGTAAACAAACTTTCGAGGACGAAATGAGAAGTGCTTCACGTTGGTGACGGGATGTGCAGTAACGAGAGGTCTTTGCAAAACCAGCCAAGTCTTGAATGAGTTTCGCGCACCCCATCCCAGAACCCACTCCACGCCTCCGTGCTGCATGCCCGTGAGCAAGCACGCCTCGGCTCATAGCTCCACCTGTCGCCACGCTCGCTGCCTGCACGCGCCTCTCGCACATAGGAAACGATGTTTTCCTTTGGTGATGCTTGCTGATCGTCGAATTCGCCGTCGGATTCGTAGATCATCGTGATGCTCCCCGGCGCAGGCCCTCACTGGCGACACTCGCACCGCCAGAATTCTTTGGTGCGCTCGCGAAAGCGAACTTCAGAGACCATATCGTGAACAGCCGGAGTGGGGGTAACGCTATGTATGCCAGTGATGGCCGAGTCTGGAGCGACTCGTGATGGCTGAGCGAGCATGAAGACATGCACGGCGGGATGGGAAGGCGGCGGAAGGGAGAGAAGGGGGCGCTTGCTTCCGCCAAGTGGCGACTGGGTGTACGGGGGTCGGATTTGGTTCGGCTTGGCACGAGAAACGCGTCACGCCGTCTCTTGCGCAGCATGCCTGCGAAATCGCTAACCGCCGTGCGACATGGGAAGCAAAATCCCGCGGTGCGCGGTGGCGGTCTCTAGCGAGCGCGACAAAGGGCGGGCGAGAGTCGTGCAACTGCAAGGCGATTGGGCCTTCAAGCTGATCCATTCCCGCCGCCTCCTTCCCCGCTCTAGTGCTCCTTCTCCAAACCCCAAGCCCCGCTCCAACTTCTGCACTGCCATCATCGATCTCCTTTCGCTCGCTACCTACCTTCATCATCCCTCCTGCCTTTCCCATCATCTCTCCTGCCGTCATTCCATTTGGAGTGCACCTTTAAATTCCTGTCACCCGCTTCTGCTCCCGCGTGCTACCTTTTGTCGCCTCGCCCCTCTCTCCAAATCTCTCTCTCGTTCGGGGCCCTTTGACGAAGCAGCTCGCTCGCAGCTGGTAGCTCGCTGCTGCCAATCGGCTCCTCACCCACTCCAGGTACGGCCTCTCTGCTCTGCTCCCGCCGTTTCTCCCTTCCCAATTTCTGTCATGTCTTTGTTGGTTATCACATGAACCTTGCTGCTCGCTTATCTCACACATGCCACTCACTTCGCCTTTACCTTTTTAATTCCTCCGTGCGACTGGATTGCCATGCCACACCCACATAGATGGCGTTTTCTTTTCTTAATCCTTTCGCTTGTGCTGGTTTCTACCCGATCCTTTCTCCATCTTCTTTCCACCTCATTCTACTCTTTCAACTCCTGCTCCTTCCCTCTCTCTACTTTCTTCTGCCGTGTACTCCTTTCGCCCTGCTCCATCACCTCCACCTCCACCTCTCCCTCCTCCTCCCCTCCTACTCCCTTCCGCCCCATCTCCCTCCCGTCCCTTCTCCCTTCCGCTCCCCATTCCCTTTCCGCGGCCCTTCCGCTAAGGTCAAATTCCTTCCTCTACGCTTCCTAGCCTTCAACTCTCATGCCTTCATTTCTTGCGTCTGCACCTCGTAACAGCAGCTTGTAGCTTCTGCCCTCGGCTCGCCATCTCTCTCCTCTTCAGTGCCGGTAATTGACCACCCCGCTCTCAACCGGCACCTCACTGCTGCCGCCTGCCACCACTTGTCGCCTCGCCCTTCCTTCGCCAGCCTCCAGAGATCCCCCGTTCGGCGCCTCTGGCGAAGCTCCTCGCTCGCAGCTGGCAGCTCGCTGCTGCCACTCGGCACACATCAATCACTCCAGGTACGGCCTCTCCGCTGTTCTCCCACCGTCTCACCCTTCCCAATGCGCTTCTCTGCTCTCACCGTATCAGATGTGTCCTGCTCCTCCTACCTCTCCGGAGTAACACACTTGCATCTTGCATTCCCTTGTTGATCAGATGCGTCTTACCGCGCACCTCGCCTCGCCTTACCTCATAGTGCTGCCACCCGTTCCTCTCTGCGAATGGCTTACCATGCCACTCCCTTTCCCACACTTGACGCTCCCTTCACACTTCACCGTGCTGCGCTCCCTTCACACTTCACCGTGCTGCGCTCCCTTCACACTTCACCGTGCTGCGCTCCCTTCACACTTCACCGTGCTGCGCTCCCTTCACACTTCACCGTGCTGCGCTCCCTTCACACTTCACCGTGCTGCGCTCCCTTCACACTTCACCGTGCTGCGCTCCCTTCACACTTCACCGTGCTGCGCTCCCTTCACACTTCACCGTGCTGCGCTCCCTTCACACTTCACCGTGCTGCGCTCCCTTCACACTTCACCGTGCTGCGCTCCCTTCACACTTCACCGTGCTGCGCTCCCTTCACACTTCACCGTGCTGCCCTTCTGCTCTACACTCCCCTCTGTTTTTCATGAGTATTGGTCGTGCCACTGTAGTCTTCGACTGTTAAGATGATGAAATGGGTTTCCCCTTGCACTTAACTTCTAAGTGTCCTTTTTTTTGTAACCTTTGCTTCTACTAACCCTTGTTCGCTCCTGTTCTTATGCTGCTAGCATCCTGATCCTCTCCATCTTCTTTGCATGTCCCTCTACTCTTTCGTCTCCTGCTCCTTCCCTCCCCTTCCTCTCCCCCCCTCTCCCTTCCGGTCCTTCTCCCTCCCGCTTCCCATTCCTTTTCTTCGGCCCTTCTGCTTAGCCCCAGCTTTAACTAGTACACGGTCCCTTTCCTTTCCCGTTTCCTAGCCGTCAACTGTCTTGCCTTCATCTCTTGTGAGCGCACCTCCTAACAGCTGGTAGCCTCTGCCCTCTCGCCATTCCTCTCTTTATCAGTGCCTCTTGCCATCACTGGCGGTGGACCGCCTCCCAATCTCAACTGCCACCTCGCTGCTGTCGCCTGCCACTTCTTGTCGACTTGCCTGTCCCTCGCCTCGCCTCCCTCGAGTGCCCCTTTGTTCCGCACCTCCAGTAAAGCGCATCTCGCTCGCAGCACACTTGTACCTCCAGGTACGGCCTCTGCTGTGCTTCCACCTCCTCACTCTCTCAAATGCGCCTGTCTGCTTTCACCATGCCACATGTGTCCTGCTCTTTCCACTCCACCGGAGTAGGAGGCTCGTCGTGCTCTTCACCTGACATAAATGTATTCCCTCTTTGGCAATCACGTGTGTCTTGCTTCTCGCCTATCTCACGTGCAGCATTCTTGCCTCTCACCTCGCCTTACCTTCTAGTGCCGCCACCATTTCTCTGTGCGACTGCTACGCCACCTTCGTTGCCCACACTCGGCACTTCCTTCACACTTCGCCCCCCTTCCCCTCTTGCTCAAAGCCATTTCCGATAGGCATCTGCTACTGCCGCTGTTTAGAAGAGCATTCTTTGATAGAATTGGAACTTAACTGATTGATTGATAAGGAAGGCACGAGGCCTTAAGTACAAACACGGTTGGGTTGAGCAAAGCTAGGGAAAGGATGGGATGGGAATCCTAGCAAATCTCCAATTGGTGAGTTGGCAGATTTGCAGGATTACGAGGGAATCCCAACCAGATAGGGTTGGGATTGCAAATCTACACCCAACCTACAAAGTAACCTAACCGATATAGAATATAGTACAAAGTGTTGACTGACTATTTCTAACATTCTTCCTACTACGCATTACAGTATTCCCACCCCGCTGTGGTTGTCCATGCCTCTCTCCTCTGTTGTCCTTGCATTATTTATTGCGTTTTCTTCTATTGAACCTTTTTCCACTCCTAACCTATAGCATCCCAGTCCTCGACATCTTCTTTCCAACTCTTTCCAGTCTTGCCTGCTCCTCTCGTCCCCTGCTCCGTTCAACTCTTACTCCTAATCCTCTCTTTTCCTACTCCTACTCTCTCCTCCTTCCTTCTTCCCTGCTTTCCTGCTGCTTATCCCATATCCCGCTCGTCCTCCCCCCTCCCTCCTGCTCCTTCCCCCCCTCCACTCTGCCGCCTCTCTGCCACCCCATTCAATATCCTTCTCCTCCTCACATAATGTCTCCCATCTTGTCCAGTCGTGCACCAAGGACCCACACCTGGAGTCACGTGTGCCCTTATCGCGTAGAACCTGTGTTTCCATCTATCAAACTGTTTCTCATTCGGTGCTTCTTTCACCTCCATCCTGGTCACTCTCAGTAACGCTAAAAAATATGTGTCTTTGTGTCTCATCTCCCAAGCCTCGCACCGCGCCTTAGCCCCGCAAGCCTATGAACTTGCCCTGTCGCACCTCACTGTGCAGGCACACCCTTGCATTGGGCTAACTCCATCAGCCATGTCTCAGATGACTGCAGTGGCCATGCTGCTGCCAGCTGGTGGCTTTCCTTCTCGGTTCGGCCATCGCGGTCATCAGCATCACGACACTTGGCAGAGATGCCTGGTGGCATGCCACCACAGCAGAGGAAGTGAGTCGTCACTGCCATGGCAACGAGTTACGAGTAGAGTAGTGTCTGGTGAAAGGTGTTTGCTCTAAGGGATGATGTTCACCAGTTTGAGCCCACTCAAGCACAGCTACACATAGACATGAGCAGATGTTAAACCCAAACTGGTTATTGTTGAGGTGACTTAAACCAAGATGTACTGTATGTCAAACCGACCCGAACCTGGTTAGGGTTGAACCATTTACGCCACGCTACCTTTTTTGTTTGAGTTTAGACTCGTGTGAGGTTTGGCCCTATCTGGTTCAATTTCGCGTGCATAAACCTTCATTCTGTTTTTTTTTTCATATTTGTTTTGATAGCTGCTTTTGAGAAGTCTGTCGCGAACTGTACATGGATCACAGAAAACAAAATGCTCTAGTGTGATGTACAGTCGGTAACAATAAAATATGATGAAAGAGCCTTAAATGTCGAACCTGTGCAGCCCGAGCGGTATCAAACCGGGAGCGCTTCAGCTATTCAGGAAAGCGTCAAGGCGAAATGTTCGGCACGCTTCGGGGAGGGCGTCTTCGACCAATTCGGCCCGTCGGACATGAACGCAAGCCTGTTGAAGTGGAACCAGGCATGGTAAGAAAGAGCAACAATTGAGTTCTGGCCTCTTGTATAGCTGCACACTTTTTCCAACACTACATGTGCCTTGCACTTGCAGCCTTGAGTCTCAGCATCCACCCGTGGTTTCCTTTCTTCCTTGTTCGCAACGCTCTTGTTGCCTCTTGCCACTTCAACATGACACCTCCAGCTAGCAAGCCAACCAACCTCTCATGCTCCCCTCTCCTTCTCTGCAATGTGCTCAATTCCCAATGAATCTGCTATAGATTATCTCTTGTATGAATCTGCTAATATGCCTGTCTTTGTGTGTGCATGTGTTCGCGTGTGGCCCTCTGCCTACGCATGCATGTGTTGTCAACCTCAGTCCACTGTCACATGTCAGAACGCCACATGCGGACCTCCCACTCATGCCCATGGAATTGAGGTTTCTGGTCACCATGCCCGTGCTCCCTCCATGCCGCCTCACTCTCTCCCCACCCTGGTATGTGTACGGAACTACTGAGGCTTCTGCACTTGCCACCTTACAGCACGCAACGTGCCTTTTTGTCATGACTTGGTGTTTTGTTGTTGTGCTGTAATCTGTCACCACCCTGTATTCGTATCCGTGAACTCTTTCCTCCCTCGCCGTCCCACGATCACAGGCGCCGGTTAATGTGCTGTATTCTGCCATCACCACTCTTATAGTAGTGCTGTGGTGGAAGGACGTGACCCACATGCAAGTCAGAGCATGGGTGCATCAGCAAGGCTTGGCTGGAGTGATGAAGCTGAAGAGTGCAAGCAAGTGCTTCGAGGTATGCCATGTCCTCTCTGTCCCCCACCACTGCAGCTTTGCTGCTCAACAATCTTATCAATGCTAATTTTTTCGTGCGTTCACTCGTTGTTCCCATGCTAGTGCACGTTCCTCTCTGGTCCCTCATCTCTCCCTTCATTCCCTTCACCACTCTTCCTGCCTTCCCTTCCTCGCCCTCACCATGCTGCAGCCACGGGGAATCTTCTCTTTCCTGCGCAGCCTTATGTGAGCATGCCCCACCTCACCACTGTTGAACCTCATTCTCTCGTCATATATGTCCCCACTTTTTAAAAGCTACATGTGTATCAGTGTGTATCTTCCATTGTAAAGCGTTTTGTCTCGGTATTGGCTCTATGCTTGATGCCTCATGTTGTTCTCTACCTACATACATCTCGTGCTTCCTAGCCTGTAATGCTTGCAGACAATTCATTTACCTCAGGTTCTTGCCTTTTCCAATGTGTGAACTTTTCTTTGCATGTTTCCCCCTCATTTGACAGCTCAGTTAGCAACGTTTCTGTATGTTCCATGGTGCCTAAAGCTGAGAACTCTTGCTCCTCATTTCCTTTCTTACTCGAATTCTCCCAATTTGCAGCTCACCATTACTCCCTTACCTCCCTATCTTTTCATTCCCGTGCTTGTGCCACATGCACCCATGTGCTGCCATGCGTAGGAAGCATGCCAGTTTTGTGATGCAGAATCTGGGTACAGATGTTAGGACTGTCATGGCGAGTTTGGCCGGAACGCAGGAGTTGAGTGAGGCGATGGAGACGAGGATGAGGGCGGTTGGCGTGCAGCTGGAAGAGACAAGGAGGGAGTTGGAGGAGGCTGAGAGGAGAAGGGTAGCGGAGATGATGGAGATGAGAGGGCAGATGGAGGAGAGGGAGAGGGAGCTGGCAGCATTAAAGGGAGAGTTTGCTGAGCAGAAAGATGCTCTCATGGACTTGGATGTTGACCTGCATATCATCCGGAGTGTAGGCGATCAAAGGACTGCATGGGAGGTGAGTCCTGAATGAACTGCTTCACGCGTCATGACACGTGCATGTTTTGACAGGGTTGCATTGTTTGACAGGGCTTGCGTTGTTCGCTATTGTCACGATGGTCAATCCTTTTTCTTGCCGTGCATTCCCTCTTCATTCGTTACCTTCAGTGGATCAAGTTAGATTCACGAACAACTGGTCTGAGGTTGGCGAATCTCCGCGGCCTCCCAGACGCCGTCTTCATCCATGTGTCCAGGATGACACATCTGACGAGCATTCTCTTGGACTCCATCTCTGGATTCACTGCAGAGGGCATCCAGCACCTCTACAGGCTGCCACGGCTGCAGTACCTAGACCTCAGCGGCACAGCTGTGTCAGACGGTGCCTTGGAAGGCATTGGGTCCTTGACCAGCATTGATTTCCTCGATCTCCGGAGAACCAAGGTGACCGATTCTGGGCTGTCACACTTGACAGGCCTCTCCTCTCTCGAACAGCTGGTGCTTGCTGAATGCAAGGGTGTGACGAATGCTGGCATGGGCCATGTGGGGAGGCTGACCCGGCTTGAGAGCCTTGTTCTGAGGCGGACGGCAGTCACGGATGATGGGCTGTCACACTTGACAGGCCTCTCCTCTCTCGAACATCTGGGGCTTTCTGAATGCAAGGGTGTGACGAATGCTGGCATGGTGCATGTGGGGAAGCTGATAGGGCTTGAGTCCCTTGAACTGCAGGGCACAGCAGTCACGGATGCTGGGCTGCAGCAGCTGACTGCCCTGACCAAGCTGACATTTCTCCAGCCGCCAGAAGGGGGACAACTTGAGAATGATGCAGCACGCAGGCGGATAGTCATGTAGGGTGGCAGGAAGCTGTGCTTGAAAGGGAGGTGAAGGAAGAATTGAGTGTGATTGCCTCAAGGAGACTGAGGAGCTGCAAGGAGGAAAGGGGTGTGAAGAATGAGGGGAGGTGTGCATGAAGAGTGAGGCATGGAATGGTGGTTGTGCACGGCTCAACTTGCTTGCTGTAGTGATGCATGGATGTGTAGAACTCGATTCGTGCCTTGCAGGCTTGCATGTGGATAGAAAAAGGTGCATGTCTGGTTTGGCAAGAGTCCAACCAATCAGGTGCATGAGATGAAGCTGCATAAGTCATGTGTGCTTGGTTTCAAATGTATAAGGCTGTACACATGCTCTTCATTTCCTATGAGTAGGAAACAGGAACTGATGTAGAGCTTGTTAGAAGATGCTTCAAGAACTTTAACTCCCTGATTGGTTAAGCATGACTGCTCAACTCATGTGATGTCAATAAGAACCCTCAGTTATTATCAAATGAGAGTACGGCACCACATGTTAGTTTGATGAATTCAATGTTAAACACCAGTCTATGACTTCTGGTAGCATTCCACAGAAGCACTATCATAATCAAAGCACAAACGGTAGCATCAAAACTGAAGTGTTCCATATGTTTAGCTGCAGCATGGTTGAAAATATTCTTCTGGCCTTGGTGGGTAGCATAATAGCATAGCATGCGGTGGATGGCAGAGGTAGAGCTTGAAGAAAGTGAGCCCACATGCGGATGGGAGAAGGGCAGATCCGAAGTCTGATGCTTGCTGCTGCACACAAACTCCCCTGCTTCACATGTACCTAGCTTGATTGCCATATTACCTCTCCACAAACACCCATTGCACCACCTCTCAACGCTTCCAACACCACCACCTCCAGCAGCAGCTCCTGTTGTGAAAGGCAGCAGCCAGCAACACAGTTGAGAGGAACTGAAGGGATTGGATTTGAGTTGCATGCGTTCGATGAAGACTTGCACCTCGCTTGGAATTATCCCTTTGTGCACTGCCGTGCCGTGGTCTAAATCTCATAACACAACTCATTGATTAGCTTCAGATATCAGCTACCTGTTTAAACTGGATATCAATATCTGCAACAGACAGAGTGAAAGGCATGAGAGAAGGTGTACTTGCACCTGTGTGAAAGGCAAGAGGTATATGGCAGAGTGAAGGGAAGGCATGGGATTCTGCTGCCTGAGGTAAATGGTGCACTTGCACCGCTGTCCCAACACTATCCTCTCCCAATAGAACACACAGACAAACAAATTCGTCATCAACCATCGTACTGCACTTAGGTTGATGCAAAGCATACACAAAGCACTTGGGTTAGTATTACCGTAGATGATGAGCTCTGGCTTAACTCAGAAACAAAACAGCTCACCATCCGAGGCACCTTTCAATTAGGAGTGCTACTACCCCATTCCAGCCATACTTGTTCTGTCCTCTCTACCAGCCTCACCTCCCTCCACGCCATGCCATTATGGTGAGACAACTGCTAGAAGCAGCTGGAGGAGGGCAGGGAAAAAGAAGGTGGAGTTGAGGGTTGAGGGCAAAAATAATAAAGAGGCGATTCAGGGGCGGCTCTGATGCAGCATCAACCAACCTCCAAGAACGAGGGGAAGGTGGGGGAGGAGGGGGGAGGAAGAGTGGATAGCGGGAGAGGTGCGGGGGGGAAAGAAGGAGAGGGGTGAGGTGAGAAGTATAAGGAGGGGGGTTGAGAGCAGAAAGACATATATATGAGCATCACAGGAGCGTGAGTGAGGCATGAAGAGGGAACTAGGCGACAGCAGCTGTTCCTGAAAAGTTGTTGTGAGAGAGAGGGAGAGGTGGTGCAAGATGGTGCAATGGCTACGGTGGTGCTTCTTGGCTGGGATGGTGGGATGATGGGAGGGTGATGGCGGGTAGAGGGGGAGGACTTGAGATGGGAAGGGACAGTTGTTTTATGCACCAGGTGAATGGCAAGAAGAGGAAGATCGATGAACTGAAAGTGGGTGCAATAGATTCATGTGATTGGTGCGATGGTTGAAGTGGGATGAGTGGAGACCTTGGAAATCGGGAGTGGAGAGATGAAGGAGAGGAGATGTGGCAGGGAGGGAGTGGTGGACGAGATACATGATGTAGGGTGAAACTGGAATGATTCTGAAGCAATGTCAGCCTCCCATAAATCAACCTCCCATGCCTCACCCTAAACCCTGTAGGGTGAGACTCGTTGCTGACTGATTTTACCGCCACCACTGTTACTGTATCCCATGGCTCTGCCCTGCTGCCCGGCTGTGTGTTATAGAGATGCGTTGGCTCCTCAGCAATCGCCCAGGGAAAGGTGCGGAAGGAAACGGGTAGGCAGTCCGAGCATCACATGAAGAGTGCTATCAAGAAAAGAAGCACCATGCATTGCAATGCTCATGGCATAGTCACATTTTGCAAACAAGTAAGCACCATCGATCTCGCTATGCATGCAGAAACAACACTCTACCATGATCACCACGACACACTTCTTGCCCTCGCACGCTCGCACTTCGAACCGATGTCGCTGCTGACTCCCAGGCTCTTGAGCATTCTCACACACAATGACCATCTGCTCACCGCGTCGTCGACTGCTATCAAACACACCAGCCCTGCCGACGCCGCCACCTCCCCTCTTCCTCTACCTTCCTCTCACATCTCCCCCCCTAATCTCTCTTTGTTGTCAACCCCTGCCTCACCTCCTACTATTTTCCCTTCTTCCCTAGTCCTCCCTGCCACCTCCTCGGATACGTTCGCAGCTTCTGGACTCCGTGCTTCTGCTCTCCTGGTCTCAGCCAAGGCGGGACAGGTACTGTCTGTTGGTGTGGGAAGGTGAAAGGAGTGGAGGGAAGTGGGCGAAGAAGTGGGGGGGGGGGGGGGGGGGGGGGGGGGGTACTACTGAGCTGATGGTTTGCCATCTTCTTCCAAGAGCAAACTAGCACCAGAAGGAACATACCGGAAGCAAAGAAGAGAAGCACGACCAACAGAAATGGATGGAAAAAGAGAGTTAGCGTGAGCAAGTGAGTCATATTCATCTATCTGGCTTCTCTCACCTTGCCGTTGTTGGCATGTCGCCCTGCCTGCCGTCAGCTGAGAAGCCATCCACGCTGTGATGATGCCGTGCGCTTGCACCACTTGAATCTGAATATGTAGACCAAAAAGCCCTGCGTGGTCAGCATACCATAATTGCATGCCAATCATTCTAACACCCACATACAGAAAGTCACATCATGGCTGCTGCCAGGCTCTTCTTCCACATGCCACCTTACTTGCCCAGGTGCACCCACCTTTTGCATTGCATGAATGTGCTCTCTCTCGTGACACTGTGTGTCGTAGCGGTAAGATGGGCTTTGAAGTTTGTACCACCAGCACATGACAGTTTCTGTTGGTGTGAGGAGGAAAGGGCTGGCAGGGAGAGCACACATGATAGAGGGGCGTACTTCAGAGGGACGAATGGGGAGGTGGACAGACAAAAGCTGATGGCATTTCACATGGGAAGCAACACTCAGATTCACTGCACCTCGTCAACCAGAAATGCCAAAATGAGCGTGGCCATAGTCACATAGGAGCACCCAAAGGGAGATACAAACGAAAGTTGAATTACTTCTGCCATTGTGCATTCTTCAATCCTGCTCTGCACCATCCATATCAGCTGAGAGGCACAATGGAAGAGAGCCAGCCAGCATTGAAATGATGCATGGGAAAGCACTGGTTAGATTCATCCTGCTGCGTCAGCACCTAGCACTGAATCATGCCATGTGCTAAAAAACTAATGCTATACAAACTAATTTCCATCATGCACAAGCAGCACAGGCGCATGGGGTGGGAGTTGGGTGACATGCAGGCAGTCCTGGTGCAGGTGATGTGGGAGGGATTGAGGTTGTGCCTGAGGGTGCGATGACTACGGTGCTGCTACTGGGATGAGATCGTGGGGAGCAGATAGAAAGGTGATGAGGAAGGGAGGTTATGTGGGAAGGGGAGGAATGCTTGCTTCATGCATAGGGTGAGGTATGAAGGGCCATGGCGTGACAGGATGAAGTACATGGGCCATTTAGCATGGCGGGTCATGTTGGGAATAAGAAATGGCACAGGGAGGGTGGGGGGAAAGAGGGAGAGAGTGAGAGAGAGGGAAAAAAGGATACAAAACGAAAAGCATGCGGAGGGGAGAAGAAAGAGGACGAAGGTTGAGGTAGGGGGGCGGGGATATGGGAGGAAGGGGGGCGGGGGGAAAAACAAACATGTGGCAGATGTCATGTCATGATGTCATACGAGGATGGTCAGCTCCTTGCACCGCCTAAACCTCTCCCAAAGGAGAATGGGAGCATGGGACAGGGGAAAGGGAGGGCATTAGAGTATAGGAGAATGGAAGTATAGAATGGGGGCATGGAAGAATGGGAGAATGGGAGCATGGGGGGATGGGGGCATGGGAGCGTAGGAGACGGGGAGTATGGGATGGGAGTATGGGAGAATGGGAGCAGAAGAGAATGGGAGCAGAGGAGAATGGGAGCAGAGGAGAATGGGAGTAGAGGAGAATGGGAGCAGAGGAACATGGGAGCAGAGGAAAATAAGAGCAGAGGAGAATGTGAGTAGAGGAGAATGGGAGTAGGAGAATGGGAGGAGAGGAGAATGGGAGGAGAGGAGAATGGGAGGATAATGGGAGTAGAGAAGAATGGGAGTATGGGTTCAGGGCATGGGAGGGCATGGGAGCATGGGAGAATGGGAGCAGAGGAGTATGGGAGCAGAGGAGAATGGGAGCAGAGGAGAATGGGAGCAGAGGAGAATGGGAGCAGAGGAGTATGGGACCAGAGGAGAATGGGAGTAGAGGAGAATGGGAGTAGGAGAATGGGAGGAGAGGAGAATGGGAGGATAATGGGAGTAGAGAAGAATGGGAGTATGGGTTCAGGGCATGGGAGGGCATGGGAGCATGGGAGAATGGGAGCAAAGGAGAATGGGAGCAGAGGAGAATGGGAGTAGAGGAGAATGGGAGGAGAGGAGAATGGGAGTAGAGGAGAATGGGAGGAGAGGAGAATATGAGGCGAATGGGAGAAGAGAAGAATGGGAGTATGGGTTCAGGGCATGGGAGGGCATGGGAGCATGGGAGAATGGGAGCAGGAGAATGGGAGGAGAGGAGAATGGGAGGAGAGGAGAATGGGAGTAGAGGAGAATGGGAGGAGAGGAGAATGGGAGGAGAGGAGAATATGAGGCGAATGGGAGAAGAGAAGAATGGGAGTATGGGTTCAGGGCATGGGAGGGCATGGGAGCATGGGAGAATGGGAGCAGGAGAATGGGAGGAGAGGAGAATGGGAGTAGAGGAGAATGGGAGTAGAGGAGAATGGGAGGAGAGGAGAATAAGAGTATGGGTTGGGGGCATGGGAAGGCATGGGAGTATGGAAGAATGGAAGCATTGGAAAGCTTAGGAGAATGAGAGCATGGGTGGGGAAATGGGAGAATGGGGGCATGGGAGCATAGGCGAACGGGAATGTGGGCATGGGTGAATGTGAGCGTGTGGGGATGGGAGCATAGGTGAGCGACTGGGAACATACGGGGCATAGAAGCATAGAAGCATAGAAGCATAGAAGCATGGGAGAATGAGATCATGGGGGTAGCGGAGCGAAGGAGAATGGGAGCTGGGGGGGTATAGGAGGATAGACGCATTATGGCATGGGAACATAGGAGAATGGGGCATACAACTCCCTTGTATTATAGGCGATATACAGTCAAAAACTCCTTATAATATAGGCGATATACAGACTAGCCTTGCAATGCACATTTTACACCCTCCTCCACACTACTTGGCGCGCCTCTCTCTTCAGCGTCTCCCTGGAATCGCAGCCAACTCCACTCTCACAAGTGTCTCTTCAGCGCCTCTCTCCATCATCAATCCCTGGAATTCTACCTGCCATTCCGCTTGCACCACTGGAAACACAAACTCCCGTCATGCAGCAGGAGCAAGTGCAGCTTGGACATATTACTCAACTGCCCCACAGCTGGAGAATCTACGATTGCTGTCTCCTTCAGTACAGGTTCCACACGCGCTGTCAGGCTCTCCATATCACTCCCCGCCACCATACATGCGCACATCATGGTTGGCACGCAATGCCCTGTGGGGGATGGCCTGCTAATGGCTCCCCTCACTCTTCACACTCCTCCCCTCCATGCATCCTTTCAAAACACTCCACCCTAACCTCCTCTCCCTTCACTCCATCACTCCCTGCTATCCTCTCCCACGATCCGCTTGCGTATCTCATCACCTTCAACAACATCCCCTTTTGGCGGCCATAGTTTTTTCAGCTTCGTCAGGGCAGTAAGATGTTGCAACCCATCATCCGTAACTGCTGTCTCAGCCAGCCCTAGTTCCTCCAGCCCTGTGAGCCGTCCCACATGCACCATGCCAGCAGCGCTTACACCCTTGCATCCACCCTTGCACTTGGAAAGGCTTATCCCCTTTAAAGAGGAGAGTGTCATCAGTCGCTGCAGCCCAACGTCTGAAACTGCCGTCTCATTTAGCCAAAGTTTCTAAAGCCGTGTCAGCTTCCCCACATGCAGCATGCCAACAGCACTCACACCCTTGCATTGGGAGAGGTAGAGCTCTTTAAGAGAGGAGAGACCAGTGAAGTGCTGCAGCCCAGTATCCGTGACTGCCGTCTCATTCAGCCAATGACCCTCCAGCGCTGTCAACCTTCCCACATGCACCATGCCAGCATCTGTCACACCCTTGCATTTGGTAAAGCTTAGCAGCTTGAGAGAGACGAGAGCCGTCAGTTGCTGCAGCCCATGATCTGTAACTGCTGTCCCATCCAGCCAAAGTTCCTCAAGCCCTGCCAGCTTTCCCACGTCCACCATGCCAGAGGTTGTGACACCCGTGCAGTCAAGAAGGCACAGCAGTTTGAGAGAGGAGAGACCTGTCAAGTGTGACAGACCAGCATCTGTGACTATTGTCCCGCCCAGCCAAAGTTCTTCAAGCGTTGTCAAACGCCCCACATCCACCATGCCAATACTAGTGACACCCTTGCAGTCACCAAGCCCCAGAATTCTGAGAGAGGAAAGACTTGTCAACTGTGAAAGCCCAGCATCAGTCACCTTGGTACCTTTGAGGTAGAGGAACTTGAGACATGTCAAGGACCCAATGCCTTCCAAGGCACTATCCATGACATTAGTGTGTTTGAGGTCAAGCGTCTCCAGCCGTGGCAGCCTGTAGAGGTGCTTGATGCCCTCTGCACTGAATCCTGAGCTAGAATCCAATCGAATGCTCTTCAGTTGCGCCATTGTGAACACATGCCCAAGAGTGTTGTCTGAGAGGCCGCTGAGATTTCCGAGGTCCAGATCAGTATCTTGTGTTGCGAACTTGATTCTCTGAAGGATAAAAAGGGTGAAGAGAGGATTCCGTCACAAGGGATGAAAACGGTGAATGTACATACCGAGCTATGCATGTGCTGTCCATTTGTAACTCAGCACTCACCTCCCATGCAGTTCTCTGATCGCCTTCAGTCTCGATAATTTTCAAGTCAACATCCACCTTCATGCAAGCACGCCCCTTCCCTGGAGCCAACTCTCTTTCTCTCTCCTCGGCCCGTCTCCTAACAGCCTCCTCCGGCTCAAATGCGGCTGACTGCTCGTGCGCAGCCAGCTCCAGCTTTACTGCTGTCAACCCCCCCTTCATTGCTGCCAACTCCCAATCCCTCTCCTCCATCACAGCAGCAGTCGCCTCGTTTCTCTCCTCCACAGCAAGCAACGTGTGGCGCAACTCATGCACTTCTTCCTTGTGTGCAGCCAGCTCCTCTCTCACTGCTGCCAGCACCGCCTCTTTAATCCACTCACTCACTGCACTTATCGCTCTCTCAGCAGCCATGGATTCTATAACCACCCTCAATAGAGACCTTTGTTCAATGACCGATCCTTCTGTTCAGCCGCCTTCTTCACTGCGGCCTGGCGAAAGCAGATCGGCCTGGTAGGGTAAGGTCAATTGGGATCTAGGGAAATGCAAAGAAAGGGGAAGAGTGCCACGAGAAAGAAATGATTGCACGAGTGTAAGGGACGAGGCGAGCATGTAATCTGGAGAGAATAAGGAGCACAACAAGCGCGAGATCTGATGACAAATTGCGGAACAACGGTTTGAGTCTATAACAGATTCGGCTTAACCACTGAGAGGAGAAGCCTGTCCACAAACACATCTTTGGCATGATGACAGATGTCATTACTACAAGCGGAGGCCAGGCAAGGGAACAAATGAGACAGAAAGAAGGGGCAAGTAGCGGGGACTACCAAAATGGCACATTGCGATTCATAGAAGCAAGCCCTGATACACAAATGGTGAAGGGTAGAAAGCGGCATAGTGGATATGGTGGTGGTGGGGTACAGCAAGAGAAACTTCGATCGGCGACCCATGAAGGGCATGCACGCATATTAAGATACACCAGAGATAGGCAGAGATAGGCAGAGTTAGGCATGATCATCCTGCCCCGGCGGGTCGGGTCGACCCGACCCAGGTTTTGACCCGGGTCGGGTCAGGCATTTTGAAGCGGGTCGGGTCGACCCGAGACCCGAAACCGGGTCGGGTCGGGTCGGGTCAGATTTAGACCCGACGTCGTACCCGACTCGGTTTCGGGTACCGCGCCCTAAGTCGGGTCGAGTATTTGGCCCGACCCGACTTTTCCTCTCTCGACAGTTTGAACTAAAGCAGATCGCGAAGTCAATGTCTAGGGTTTGTTTGTTCCCTCGACATTGACTTCGATCTGCAATACCTAGGCAGCTAGCAAGCACTCGTTCTCAAGCTCTACTACTCTCTAAACTCGCGCCCATGTTAAGGAACACTATTACAAGTGTTCCCATGTTGGCGGAAGGGTCTTTTTAACCTAGCTTGACCAGGCAGAGATGTTCGATTTTATAGAAATTGTTATTCCTAGCTCTCACAAGCGACTAAACTTTGGCCCCGCGTTCTAATCGCCCCCTGCGCGCCTACCAGGCCCGCATCGATAGGGACGTTCATATAATAATACAACACAAATATTCAATCAATGCAACACTGCACAGTAGTAAGGAGAACCTCTTACCCTGCATATGGGGGTCTGGCCCGACCCGACCCGACCCGGCCCCTACCCGACCCGACCCGGGGGCGGGTCACCCCTGACCCGGCACCCGATACCCGGGTCGGGCCAGGATTCTTTGAAGTCCTGACCCGACCCGACCCGACCCGGAACCCGGCTGGCCCGCCCAAGTCGGGTCGGGTCGGGTCGGGTCGGGCCTAATGATCATGGTGGGGCAGAGATATGCTAAAAGAATGAAATGACGAACCGGCGAGAGCAGCCAGAGTAGAGAGGAATCTGACCAGGTTGGAGAGGTAAGTTTAGGGTTAGTATGGAATAGGTGTAGCGTACGTTGCAAAATACACTCACGTACGTGTCGCGAGTGTATTTACAGCGCAGCATAATGTGAAACAACGCCAGCATACTTTTGAAAGCATAACATAAGGGTGCGGCATCGTTGCAAAATAGGCGCAAATTAGAAATAAGAGCTGAATGAGGGGAGCACCAAGGGTTTGAGGTACAACAGCAGTAGGAGAAAAAGTGGTGTATGAGAAGGCCGACGAAGGCAAAGAGAGGGGAGAGGCAGAAAGGACTAGAAAATGTAACACAGAGGTCTGCTTCAACAGTGTCCACGTCAAGGTTGGTGTATCTGTTGTGCGAACAAACATCAACACTTGCACCGCACCTTCCCAGTACGTGAGGTGGGGTTCACAACAAGCGACTGAACCAACAAGTTTGGGCCAAAATTGAAGCCAGGAGGAGGAAAGAGGAAATGATAAGATGCTGCCTGAGGAGGCGGGGAAGCCATGGCAGCGAGGCAACTAGAAGAGCCTGACACGATGAGGCCTGACAACGATGACATGCAATGTGGACCTGCAAGCTCTACCCCTTACCACAGTCAGTCACGCATGCGAGGGAAGCTGCAGCAATCACGCAATGAGAAAATCTGGAAGTATAGGGAAGTACAGGGCAAGGGGAAACAAGAATGGCAGTCAACGACTCATTAGGAGTGAGAGATTGGCTGAGCCCAATGCTAGGCTTCATAGTCAGCTCAGCTCGAGCTTGACGGGGCCGTGGTGCAAAAACGTGACTGAGGAGAAGCGAGGTGCGGCAGGAGCAGGGGAGAGAAGGTGCAGAAGCCAAACCAGGGGAGGGGGGGAGGCAGCAGGAAGAGAAGGGAATAAGCGGCAGCAGCAGGGAAAGAACAGCACAGCAACAGAAAAAGGAGGGGATACGCGAAAGGGGAGGACAGGAAAAAGGAGGTGGGGAGGCCTGAGATTTGGGTGGACACAAATGGATGGGCCATTTGGGAATGTAACGACCCAGGCAGTCGGCGAAAAACGTTGAGACTGGTGCGAGTGAAGCCCCTATACTAGAGTGGTGTGAAATAGAAGAACGAAAAGACGGCCAGAGCAAAGAACGGGTGCAGCTGAAGAGAAACGGAGCAGAGGAAGCAAGCAAAGAGGGCAGCATGGCAAAAAAGTGAGGCGGAGAGTAGAGAGAGTGACTGATGTTTGGTGGTTGGAACAAGCATAATGGGCTAGGGGTGTACAGCGGCTAGAGAAAAGATTATTATGCGGACAAAAGGAAACGCATTCTGAATCTGCCTAAAAGTGGAGGGATGGA